GCATAGAAAAAAGGATGAAAACAGCAGCTGCCTATACTGGCCAAGTCAAAGAAGTGCGCACGGCTGTATGAAATATTTAAAGAGTGAGTATATGGCCAAGTGGCAGAAAAGTCCGGGCAGCTTCATTTTTTCCTCTGCTACTACTGCAAATGGCGAAAGTTAAATATTTATTTTGGCAATTGCCTGTAATTTAGTTCAGGCTTTTAAATAAACTTTTCATTAGCACTGAAAGGCAATGCAATTGTAAATTTATGCACATACATATGTTCAGTAATTGTATTTAATTAACTCTCTCCTATTAATTGACTTGCCGTGCGCTTGTGTTTACTTGCTCGTATAAGTGGGCAAATGTTTCAATCAAACTTTAAATAAACACACTGCCAACACACTCTGCACACACTCTTATATTTATTTGGCAGCAAGCGAAATACAAAACACTAAAAAGATGAGTTCCAAACGAGCAGCACAAATTGAAAGCCGCAACAACTAACACGCAAAGCGGTTGACCACTGTGGCGTATGCGTAATTCGGCCACTTTCACTTTAAAAATCAATTTAAAATGCTGCGGCATTTGCCTCCAACAACAAATCACAAAAAAAAAATGCTCAGCGCTGAGGACACGATACAAAAATTCGGGCCTCTTGAAAGTCTGCCAATTTTTTTATTTGCAATTTATTTGTATTAGTTGTAGCTTTTCTTTTCGTATTAGTTGTTGCTGTTGGTACTGGTGTTTTTGTTGCTTTTGCTGTTGCTGTTTACATAGCGTGCCACATTTGGCGCGCTTCTTTTTGATATCTAGTTTATAAAGCGACACGTTTTATTTATTTTGTATTATTGTTTTGCAACGATATTTTTTCCCCATTTTCGTTTCAATACATAAAAAGTTCATTAAACCGGGCGATTTTTGGCCCGCGGCCAGCAGCTGTTTAAATAAAAATGTGCAAAGCAATGAAATTGATTTAAATAAATGTTTAACTAAAACGTAAAGCTAGCTATCGAGTATTTAAGTGCACCGCTTTGAAGCTTCGACGAATTAGAGAGAATTATCGATTGGTTGGTATCAGTCGTTGCGCCATAATTAATGCAATGTTGTCATGACGCTACGTCGTGGAGGTATGGCTTATTTCGATCTGGCAAATCCCGCAAAGTAATGCGGTATCATGCTGATTTACACATGCAAACCATCAAGCCCATTTACGACTTGCATGCCAAATGTGGTGTCATGTAATGAGACAAAGGCCCGAGGAGTGAGATAAGTCCCTAGTGATAAGTCCATAGAATGAGTTCATTCATGTACTTATAAGCAACCATTTCAAAGCTTTATTTGTATTGTCTATTTTAGAAATGGAACGGGGCTAAAATAATTAACTATTTCCACTATTTCCAATTAGTTAAATATTGAGACAGGACAAGTTTCCAACCTACTGGCATATATGTATGTATTTCCAAGACCGACTTAAGCAGACAAGAATATACTCGTAATAAACAAAAAATAACAAATTCTAATAAGCAATGCAAGTTTTTTTGTTTTCAACAGTGTACCAAGTATTTTCAACTATATTTTAATAAAATCTTCACCTAGTGTTACTCGATTGAGAAACGACTCCTGTGGAGTTAAGCAAAACAATTTAGGTCAGCTCCAATCTATATAACTTACGACCAAATGCACTCTCTGCGTAAATTTTTATTGCTATGCTTTTAGGCATAAACTGTTCAGATCGAGATCAGAAATAGCAGTCTTTATTGTTTTTACATCCTCATAAGTCCATACGCTTAGATAATCATATATAAATCGCCTCAGTAGCTGACCCATTCGCTTTTTTATGAATTCCTAAATATACATAATGTTTATTGCCCATAAAAGTGTAGGAAACATACTGTAAACAATTTCTTCCTAAGCATCAAATATTCGTTATTTTTGGGCCGTTTCCCTTGGTCCGATGACAAGATCCGTTCTAATTGGAAATCGAAAACAGCCATAAGCACTCAACACATCAGCTTGTTATTAATTGCTCTGCTAGAGAGCTGTCAAATGTGTTCGTACACTAATTATGTATATGAAGTTCGTCGAAGAATCCCTCAGGCCGTCAAGAATTCCACATTCCAGATTTCGGATTCCCATATGGATGCATTTTGGATGCGCTGCGGCCCGTATTGTGCATAAAGTAATTAACTTGCTGCTAATAATAGACGAGAATAATGTGACGTGTCAAAACAAAACATGAAAAACGAAATGCAGCAAAGGCTAGGCGGGTAAGGAGAAGCTGCAGGTAAGGCATACAAGCAGGCCAAGTGTATCTTGGGGAACTATTTTTGGGATCACATCAAAGATGCTGCGTTGGTGCTGCTTTGGGCTGCCAATAAAGAAATTAAACGTACGTATAAATCATTTGAAATGGGCAGACGATTGCTGGCGACTAACAACTGAAAATTCTTGTATAGTTTATAAATAGAATTTTGGGGGGCCCTGACACGTGTCAGGCAGTAACTTCAAAAGCCGATTGTAGATGCTTCACTTTTCTCCTTCAGATGTTTGAATAAGTTTTGGCCGCAAATGATTTTTATGAGCCGTGAGGGGCGCACAATTAAGCAAACAAGCGTCCATAAAGTGGCATTAGGGCAAGACCGGCAACACACACACACACGCATATATATATATATATATATATATATATATATATATATGTGTGTATGTACTTACACTTACATATATGTTTCCGCATGTTAGTGTTTGCATATCCTGCTCTCAGGCGCCAGTGCCTCATTCATAAGGATTTATGAGAAGGTGCTGCTGGCTGGTGCACATTTGCTCAGCTTACCGCACGCCAACACACGGTGACAAATTGCAATCCCGCACACAACCTCTCCAACCCTCTTACACTCTCTCGCACACCCACACACACACACACGCGCGCGCACACCAACATTGTTTGCCATTTTGCTCTAGCTGTCAACGAGTGCGCGAATGCGCCCCAACGTATGCAAGCAATTGTAATAAATGGCATGTAGCTTAGCGGTTGCCGCTCGCCGCTCGTCGCTCTACCACTCAGCATTTCAATAATTTGCTAATACCACCACCGCTGCATATTTTCTCGATACCCCTACATATGCATTTGCACTTTTTCATGGGCTGGAATTGGGGGGGGGGGGGGGGGGGGGGCGTTAAATTTGCACTCCACTCCTGCCGAAGAAAAAACATTTCAACATCAAAGTGCAAGCGGCCGGCTGTTAAAGTGCTTTGCATGGCTTGGCACAAAATCGTATCTGCATAAAAAAAATGTGCTCTGTGCCAAAAATGCCTTTTAAAAATTGTTTGCAAAAACGGGACACGCTCGACTTTCATTGTTGTTGTTGCTGTTATTGCTGTTGTTGTTATTCTACTGGTAAGCCCGATTGAAAGTCGTTAAAATTCAGCGAGTTGCGTTCAGTGTATTGAGTGAGGAGTAGAAAAGTGCTTTATGTGTGGTGTATGTTTGGGTGACCATAATTCCATATATCCCAAAAAATATTTATTACATAGGCTCTAGCAAAGCATTTTTTTCCAATAGAACGGAACATAAATATTATCAATAGATTATTAATATATTTTGTGTGAAATATATAGATATAACTGACATTTTCATGTTAAGTCTGTCTTTAACTCCAGGTTCAGATATTATACATTTGTTGATATATTAAAAAAAAAGGAGTCAATTTAAAAGTCTATCTGACTAACCAGCCTTAAAATGTGTTGATTTATGAACTGTCTGCTATTGAGATTAAACAGATTCGGCACATATATTTATTCATTGTTTATATTTAGCCAGCACTTCATAAAAAGTTCTAGCGAAATTAGCCTATCCTGTTAATAGTATTGAAAAGTTAAGGGAACAAGATTAAGATTATTTGCTCTACTCGAATATATACGAATGATACTGTTGATAATAAGATTTATTTACTATTGATCTCATATATGAATGTTGCACTTCTACTTTTTAAGAATCAATTGCAATTCGCATCTCTGCATTTTGGTCACCCTGATCTGCGCGAAAGCTCTACGTGCGATTTGAATATTGTTCAAATAGCATTCGAAAAAGACAATAAAGGCAGAAAATGTTGTTAAATCTTTAAAGAAATTCTTCAATGAAAACAACGATAGCCACAGCAAGCATTTTGCTGTAACACAAATTTACGAGAAACGCCAATGACGCTGCCGCTGGCAAACCACGTGAAAATTGTCAAGATAACTTTGTCGTCGGAGGCTCGACTGCAACTCCCCAGCGCCCGAGACATTGTCTCAGGCGTGCACATTGAACTCAAATATCTAACAATATTGTATGAAAATAAAAGAATCCATTGAAGCGGAAACAATGCCGAAATTTTACAGGTTGCCCTGTCAAATAAAAAAATAAAAAAAAAACGAGCTCAACAAAAAAGGCATGACAGGCGGCTGGGCAGAAGTAAAACATTTTGTTTTGGGTTTGGGTGTATATGTGTATTTTTGGAAAATATCAAACTTGCTGCCGTCGAAGTGCACAACAACAACATCAACACAAACACCAAAAGCAACAACAACCGGCAAACGGAAGCAGCAGCGCACAGGGAATGACAACGAGTACGAGAAACAGCTTGTTCTCGGGCACTTCCCGACTTGGTTCTGTATTGTTGGCAAAGGGGGAAGGAAGGGCACGGGGATGGGGATGGGGAGAAAACGTTGGTTGGTAAGTTACTTGGCACACGGGCTCGTGAAAATCGCAAGCGGAAGCTTTGTGTTAAAATAACAAACAATCAGCCGAATCATGTAGGAAGCGCAAATAATAAATAAATATATTTTATCAACGCGACAGTTTCCCACATCGGCACCAACAACAACATTTTCTTATATTGTACGAGTATACATATCTGTATATATCTATGGATGTGTGGGTTGACTTTCATGTTTGCCTCGCTTGTTTTTAAAAAGTGCAACACCTTTGCCATTTCGTTCTCTCACAGTTCTACTTATACTTCTATGCTTCCAGTACCTGCACGTCTCGTCTGGGCCGCTTTGGGGAAAAGTGTGGATTTACCCTGCGATTTGACGCCACCTACGCCGCAGGACTCGGTGAAGTTGTTGCTGTGGTTCAAGGACACTACAGGCATACCATTATACAGGTAACTTGCAACGCTACTAGGAATGTCTAAAAATATTTGCAACAACATGCCACAAAGTTGGGTTTTAAGCCACAAAATGGATGAAAAAATATTCGTTCTTCAGCATTTTAGTGCACAACAATAAATGTTACAGTCAATTCCCTGAAAAATGCACAGTTTCATTTATCAACGCTTCCTTCTTCTTAAAATTGAATTATGGAGGAATGAGTAATGATTTTTTTACCACATTTTCCACTAGTAATGAGATGAAAGATAATACCATTGATGCCTCTGTTGGCAAAAAAGAAAAACCGAAAGAGGAACATTTTAACGGAAAATATGCAGGTTTTCATATTAAAATAACTTTTAAATTTCTGTAGAATAAATAAAACCATACTACTACGATCAGCTACTATTTTCCAATTGGTTGATACGTTTTGAACTACACAAGGCAGAAAACAGAATACATGGAATCATAAATCAACATAAAGGAACCACTCCAACAGCATCACTAGATGGCTTTCTTATACACTATACTCTCAATCCTAGTCTGATCAGTTCGACATTTTAAAACTTAAAAAGTTTAAGCGACCAGATTTCAGTCCCCAAAAATTGCACGCAAAGTAATGTTTCAGAACTCTTCAAAGAAACTTACTCTTTTTCTACTCGGATGAGATAAATTCACTTATTTTGAAGTCCATCAAATACACTTACCTACATACATACTTGTATATCTTCGACTATTGATACCTCTGTTTGTTGGCCCGTGTAATATATACATATATGTATGTATTCACGGATGGCATTCCTGCTGCACTTGAGTGCGGAAATTGATTTCAGCTGCCGAGAAGAGGCCAAACAGTTAGACTTTTTTCAGTTGTTAATAGCATTGAAGTGCAATGACGTCAAAAACAGTTCGCCTGGCATGCGCAGGTGTTGTCGGAAATCGGATATGTTTAGCTAAGGCAAGTGGCATACTCCCGATTCCACTCCCATGCTGGCTCCCCACGCACTGACACCAGCTATGCTGGCAGGGTGTCAGCCACCCATCCATCAAAAGCGAAAATAATCGTCAACATCCTTTTCTTACACTTCGCACTCTCATTTTTTGTTGTTGTGTGCTTCGTAAGTTACGCGTTGGCTTACTTCCGGCAGTTCTTTTTTCTACTCTTCGTATTTGTGTGTCGGCATTTTTCCATTGCCGTCAAATCAGCGTGCCAGGCATACCATTTGGGCGAGTATGTAGGTGTGGATATCTGTGCCTGTCTGCATGTATGTGTGTGTGTGTGTGTGTGTGTGTGGCGAGGATGCGTCGCTTCGATGCGCGCCGTGCCACACTGGGGCCGTCATAATCCACTTTGTTATAATAAATGTAAAGCACATCCGATTACAGCTGCCGTCGCTAAAGTGTAGCAAATTTTCACGCACACGCACACACACACACACACTAGTGTATATGTATTTAGGGAGTACATACTATATATACAGACAACGTATGTTTAGGCAACTGGCGTTCGTTGCGGGTATTTCTCTTATTTTTTGGTCGGGGTTTATAACAAATTCGCGTTAATAAATTTTCAATACAAATTTGCAAAATGTGCTGTGCATTTCAAGTTGTGGCACGGACGAGAGTCTTGCATGCGATAAGCAACACCGTTGCGTGCGTCTATCATTAGTTGCAACAACAAAAGCAATAACTACAATATCTGTGTCAGCTATACTCGTACATACAGGTGCTGCTGTTGCATGTGGCAAATACGAATATTCGAAAAGGGGGAGGAGCAGCAGAAGTGGCGTGCAATGGCCGGCACTCAATAATACTAAACAATTGCAACAACAGCCGGCAGCATCGTGGTTGTACGTAGCTGGTTGTGTGTAGTTGTGGCAGCCACAATGAGTGCTGTACTACATGAAATAAACAGAGTAATTTGCTAAAACAGCAACAAATTGCTGCAATTTGCACAGAGCTGCCAAAGTCGCAGCGTGGCACGAAGCGAGCCAAGACGCAACAAAAATGTTGAGCAAATCCAACACACTCACACACTCACACACACACACTGACACACACGCGCACACACACTGAGAAACAACAGTCGACATGGTGTGCAAATTGAACGTCATTTTTTATGAGCGTAAATTATGCTGAGGGGCCGTAGTTGACGGAACCTGAACGTTTTGCGTGAGAGATGCTCCCTGAAGCAAACTACACTTGCATATGTTTATTTATGACATCTAATAAGCACTTTCACTCTTCTTCTTCTCCCCCAAATTTCCATTTCCGGTTTTCTGCAGTCTGGACTCCCGGGGTGGCAATGTGAAGTTGGCGCCGCACGCCGCCATAGCTAGCGATCTGGGCCAAAGATTGTTCTTCTCCATTGGCGATAATCCCAAGGATTCGCGTCTGCAGATAAACGATGTTAAGCCGGAGGATGGTGGCGTCTATCGCTGTAGAATAGATTTTTTTAACTCGCCCACACGTAACTTTAGACTTAATCTAACTTTAGTAGGTGAGTTCAAAACGATTATAATACATTTTGAAACTATTCTCAAGCAAGAATGGAATGGAATGCAAAAACAAAAACATTTCTTAGAAAGAGCATTAACTACCTCTCTACAACTATTCCCACTGCGTAGATCTATTGAAAGACGAATTCCAATCCTTACTTATTTCGGCTCATACTTACACCCGTTTAATAATTCTCCACATCTTGCAGTTCCTCCAGAAGAGCCGCGCATTTTCGATGCCCAGGGCAAAGAAATCTCCCAAATGGCGGGTCCATTTCGTGAGGGTTATGAGCTTTTCCTGTGCTGTCAAGTGAAAGGCGGTAAGTAAACATGGCCCCATCATGCATACCGTGAACATATAGTATGTGTATAGTATGCATATATGTTATGTCATGTGTGTGCCTTTAACGATTTTTCAATTGTGAGAACTTCAGTTTCCATTTCGTTTACAATTTGATTGCGCGACTGTCTCTCTTTGTAGCGGCTTCTACCATTTTCAATATGTCGTCAAGTGATTGTGGCAAGGTTGACCTATTTTCAAAGCCGCGGCCCAGTGCGCTTTTACCGCCCAAGCCCAAGCAATTGTGTCAACTTTGTGGCATATTGCGGCTGCCAAAAGAAGCCGCTTACGTTACGACGACGCATGCGAGTCCTTTGCGACATCACTTAGCCCCACACACTGGCAATGGCAGCCATGACCGTGTCAATAGTTGCCCTGTATGAGTGTGTGTGTATATGTGAGGACCTTTTTGCATGCGTTGTCATAGTGCCTGCATATGTGGCAGCATCTTTTTTTCATTTATTTTACTTCGATGTTGATGACAGTTGCGCAAATTGCTTCATAACTCAACCGAACTGAGAACATTGAATGCTCATCTCCATTTGACAGGTCGCCCGCCACCCAAGGTCACCTGGTGGCGCGATGAGACCGAGCTCATAGGCACCAGCCACACATCCGTCGAAGAGGGTGCCACAGTAATGGTGAATCAACTGCTCATTGGAACCACCACGCGGGACTATTACGGAGCACGCATCGAGTGCCGGGCCCAGGGTACCAAACTGGTCGAGGCGGTCAGCAAAGAGGTTACCGTGCAGGTGCATTGTAAGTAATCCCAAAACTCCGACTGCTTCAAGTACAGTATAGAAAAGACGGTGTATTATCAAACTAGAAAACTGGACACTTGATATGCATTTAAAAATAAAATATATTCAAATATGTTCTTTCATTAATGAATCATTTACTGATATAAAATTCCGTCTTTTCCTCCACTCTCTGTTTTTTGTGAATAGTAAAACCCGTTCGCGTTAAAATCGTTACGCCCAACGAACTACTTACTGCCGGGCATCCTATGCCGATTCGCTGCGAGTCCTGGGGCTCATATCCGGCTGCCAAAATTACTTGGCTGCTTGATGGCGAACCAATACGCAATGCCGAGGTCACTGCTCACAGCGACAAGGAGGTAAGTTTGTTCAAATTGCCACCAAATTGCTCAAAATTGTCAAACGAATTTGGTCGAGAAAGTTTTTTATTGTTGTTGTTGTCGCTCCCAAGGCAACGCAACTTTGTGCCGGAAAATTTGCTTTGTACGTTTGACATTTGATAGCTGGTGCAGCTCAGTGCAGAGACTGCACTCACACACACACACACACACACACACATACACACACACACACAGACACACACGCAAACAAAGCCGCTCAACTGCATCGTCCACTGGGTGACCCTAAAAGTCAGGCCAAACTTTTCCACACAGCAATGCAGACAAGTTGACTTCAAGTGGCTGCCCACTTCATACCACCTGCCACTCCTGCCTGTCTGCCGGCCTGGCTTACTTGCTGAATGGCTGCCAGGCTGCCCGGCTTACTGACTGGCCCGACTTCTTGCTGCAGTTCGCTCTTTGATGAACTGCACTGCCGAAAAGTTTGGCAAAACTGCACAAATTTGCAGCCAGTCGACACCCAGACCAGCAGGCGACTGACTAGCAACCAACGTGCGAATTTTTCTTCCAATTTATGTGGGCAGGCGGCAAACTGCTCCGTACACTCTTACGTATTACACTGGAGCTCGTCTCTATGACGGCTTTGTTTCAGCCCCAACGCAATGTTTTGTGCGTCGCTTCCAATTTATCGACCTCGAGCATTTCATCCACGTTACTGACGGGGCTTACGCAAAGGCAACCCCGGGCAGATGAAGCTCGGCATTCGTCTCCCATTAGTTTTACCGCTGCTTTCTAATTTTGCCATGCAAAATATCCGGAGATAAAAAGACGCTCAGACCTGCCACGTGACCGGTCTATAGCAATAGCTTTGAGTTTCAGTCTACGTCGTGCATGGCCGATTTTTGTGCATGCTCATGTCATGTGCCAATCTCTCTATATGCGAGTATGTAGACGTATCTACATATATGCGGTGCATGTAACCCAAGCCACACCATCCAGCGGAGCAGGATCCCAGGAGAGACTCTGGCAGCTATTATGCTGTCAGCCTGCTTGAGCTTGCCAAAATCTAGATGCTTTACAAGTCGAACTCACTGCCTAGTTGCTTGTATAGCTTAACTGCCTTGCCGTTGTAGTAACTCAATACTTCACTTTGTGGCTTCCTGAACCGGAGCAAAAAAGGCAACTCATTATTCTGCCACTCTGAGTATTTGATGTTTGTGAGTTATGCGAAAATGGGATAAGGCTTTGCATAGCTAGCTAGCTATACTATATACTTTCTACATTACAGAAGTGAAAGTCTCGATTATTGTAGAAGTATAAATGGCTAATTCCCAAAACTATCTGCAAAAACTCAAGATTACGGCAACAATTCGAAATAAATAGGAATTTGCTTTGGTGTTTGATTTGATTAATATTTTTTTGGAATTGTGGTTTTTACTATCCAGTACTAGGATATATCAGAAATCAATAGCTGAAGACCCTGGGAGCTATTGCTAAATAGCATTATAAAAATAAATAAATAAATAAATCAGAAATCAAATATTCTTCATTGAATATAATCAATTATTAAGTCATTAAATTTAACTAAAATGAGGGAATGAATGAAAACCGATTAAATCTTGGCGGCAGCTCAACACATAACTAAAGAATACTAATAACTAGACGGCTTTGAAAGGGATTAAAAATTGTGACTATCTTTTATTTTCTTCCTAGAGAGCCCTAGAAAGGTAATATTTTCTCATTGACATCTTATTAGTTGAGCCTCTACATTGTCACACGGTTCATTTTTATCCATTTACTAATGTTTGGTTTCTCTTGTGGTTTCATTTTGCAGGATGCGAACATAACGACCAACATTCTGACACTGAAGGTAACATCGGAGAATGATAATGCCGAGCTGACATGTCGTGCAACGAATCCTTGGTTCTCTGGTGGCGCCATTGAGGACAAACGCATCATACGTGTCGCATGTAAGTACTTTAAGGCAGGTGTACCTCATGTGTCTGCCTTTTCTGCTCTACTCTACTCTGGTCTGCGTTTGTAACCGACTCTGAATTATGTCAACAACGCGTAGACACGCAAATACACACTAGTCACAAAATTCTATACAACTGGGCGAGCGGCTTATGCCATATCCTTTACACAGAGCACAGAGCTTAGTAGTGCTTAGTAGGTGTGCGTGTGTGTGTGCCTTTATATGTGAATGTGTGAGTGTGAATGTACGCAACTAAAAGCACTTTCCGACGAGGCAAGTCCAATTAGAAGCATATTAGGGCCAAAGCATCATAATTTGATTAAAGCGACAGAAAGAAGGAAGACTCTAGGACTATTCCTGTTGACGCTCCGAAGTTCCCAACGTGCGCCTTTCTAAATCACAACCTGTTGGCCTTCGGCATACACTAAGCTGCTTATAAAGTGCAGCCTGTCTTCGACTTGCCTTCGTCATCTCTGCTGGCCTCGACAGTCTTGATGTTGTCGTTGCCTTGATTAAATTTTCACTGTTATGTTTTTAGTTCCCTTTTTGCTTCACTCCAGCGCTACTTGCCTTAATATTTGCTACATCCGCTTCCGGCTTCCGTTTTACATTTCGCCTGCAAGCCGCAGCAACAAAAACAACAACTCGGGCGTGCCAACAACAAAATTAAATTACTTACCTGCACTCAAAACAGGCCGCTGACTACGTCATAAATGTGTATGTGCATGGGTGTGTGTGTGTGTGTGTGTGTGTAGGAGTGGGTGTGGTTGTGGGTGAACTGCGACCTCAGACTTCATTGAGGTTTAATTTTGTGCCGCATTTTAATAATTCACCATAAACGTCAGCAATTTTTTCCTGTGCCATTGACATTTGCTATGCCTGCCTTAACCACCGCCAAACGCACACACACACACACACACACACTGAAACCAACTCACGCAGACAGGCTCACGCAGAAAATGGCGGCGGCAGCGGCTGCTGCTACTCTTCGAGTGGCGCCAGTCTCGGACGCGTATTAGATTTTTACAACCGTAACTAATAGTCCCATTTGGCGTGTGGTCAAGAGGCCGTGCAGCCCCGACGGGCGCGCTCATGACACGTAAAGGATGTGCAGGCAAGGAACAGCAAAAATAACAACAACAATAACAACATGATGAAGAACAAAGCGTCTAGTGCCCCAAAGTGCGTGTGTTTGTTCTGTGGGTTGAGGCTGGTGTTGGTGTTGGGCATTCGGCCAGCAGCTTGACTTAACTACATTACACAGTGTATATACTTATATAAATGCTGGCTGGCTGGCTGGCTGGCTGGCTGGCTGGCATCTCACAAGCCGCTTCACCTTATGACCCATTTCAATTTATTATTTTGACTTTTATGCTGCCATTTGTAGCGCTCATTAAATGCCGCACTAATAATGCGAGCGCCCCTGGGCTGTTCCTGTTGCTGCTGCCGGGGCTACAACAGAATTCGCTTAGTGGCTGACTAACTAAACCTGGCCCTGTTCTTCTCTATTTCCAGATCCACCTAGCGTGTCGGTCCATTTGGCGAATGAAGATCCCAGCCGTGTGGTCACACGCGCCGAGGGTCAAAATGTCACGTTCAAGTGCCGCGCGGATGCCCGCCCACCGGTCGCCTCCTATTCCTGGTTCAAGAACGTAAGTTTTCCCCTCCTGTACTATTTTTCGTTGCTCTGCTATTGTGGAGGCCATCATTCACAGTGGAGTTCAATTGCAACCCACTGCGTTGAAAACTCTTCCACAATTAAGAGCAGATTATGAACAAGATTTTCTTCAAAGCTTATGCTGTTTTTATTTCGGCTTCTCTTTATCTAGAAATCAATTTCTTATTGCATTTAATTTTTGCTAAAATAATAAAAGAAAAGCAGAGATTTGAAATGGAAAGCTTATATGTGAGCTGAGTTTAATTTTTTCATAAGAAATACTTCAATTATTGAAATAAATCTTTGTCAAAAAAGACAAAAGCATTGAAATCAACTTGGTGAACAAGCTTTTGGTAAATTAAGAAATAAAATATTTATAATTACAACTGAAAACTCGATAAATCGCCAGCATCTTTATAGAATTTGGCTAGCAAAATGAAAGCTAAAAGAAATACGAACGAAAGTATCAAACACATATGAACAAAACGAGTAAAAAAGCTAAAGTTGGGTGTCCCGACTTTGAAATACTCTGTACATATGTGTACAATAATTATAGAAAATAAAAAAAAATTAAGAAAATTAAAAAAAAATTTGGATCGGTATTCGAACTCACGTAAAGGGTGTATAATGGCATACAAAGCAATTGCGTCTATGTGAGTGTATGAATGCCTATGCGCATCTATTCGTGTCTGTGTAAACATGTTTGCAGTCAACCAAACAGCAACATCAACAACAGCTGCGGGCAGCGCTTGAGCAGCGCTTGGGCATAGTGAAACTTGGCATACGGACATATAATAACTAACTGGGGGTATTTGCAAAATTTGAATTCCAAGAATTACAGGAGTTACGATTTGCGGTTTAAGCAATTATATATGCATAGTTGTCTGATTTTTATGAATAATTTATGGATGTGCAATCAACTAACAAATAAATGAGGATATGAAGTCGAGTTAGAAAATGAGGCCTAAAAATCAACCATCATATTAATTTTTTAATTTTAATATAAGTGAGCACGCTTCCACGATTTTAAGACTTCAAGTAATTTTAAATCATGCTTATGCGATGATGGCTCGAAACGAGCTTTCATTGTGGGATTCCACCTAGCTCGTTGAACTGGAAAGAATTTAAACGGCATCTCGATCTAGACTACTGTGCGTCTACTGCTCGATACGGCCAAACAGATGACGTCTATCATCATTGCCCCCCAAGACACTTTGGCCAATTTTTATTATCAATTGCTTGCCTACTCGCAACAGCTGGCATATCCAATGCCATCTCCCCCCAATCGGTGTAAAGTCTGAAGTTTCTTGCTGGTGATGGCGCTGGTCGTTTCTAAGGCTGTCGCTGTCTGCTGCTGTCGAAATTCTTGCGGCAACTTAAGCAGACATTTTGCGGTTTAATTCAATTTGCCAAATTGGTGGAAGCCTAGAAAATTTGTGAAGCCACTTCACTTACTACGTACCACTTTGTAATACCCCTGCTCTGCTTTCATGCTCGTCTCATGCCTAGCTCATTTATCAAGCGCCTTTAATTGGCTCATGTATGTGAATGTTGTGCTATGTGACCGATGTTGATGCCCGTAGCTTGGCTTTCATTGTGTTGACCGCTGATTGAAGTCATAGCCAGCCATTCGTATTGCAAATTATTTAAACATTAATCATTTGACAAATAAACCAAACGTTCCCCAAAATGTTGACCACTATCATGACTGCTGGACTGACTGCCTGTCCTTCTATTCGTTTGTGCGGTTGTCTGTCAATTTTCACATTGCCTTTCAGTTTTTCATTCTCGAACAAAAGCTCAGCTCGGACGCTCATTGTCAGCGGGCGACTTTGCCTCGCCTTTTTTATTATTAAACCGCATGATTTTGACATGCTTTGACAGTTTTGTCCACATGCGCACATCATCATTTTTCATAAAAATCATAAACTCATTCTTCTTGGGATATATATTAGAGTGTGTGTGTGTGTGTGTATGTGTGTGTGTGTGTGTGTGTGTGTGCGGAACAAAGCTGTGTAAATAGCCAAATGATCGCAGGCGGCTATTACTCAAGTCTGGCGCAGCTTTTGGCTGCTGTCCCTTTAACAAATTACTTGAAACATTTTCCGATGAAACTTTTCAATACTTAACTGGCATTGCGTGCCGGGCCAAAAACTGCCACACTTCGTTTTCTTGACATTAATAAGCAAAACGCCAGCATCGGCAAAAATTTGTGAAAAACGATGCGCCAAATGCGTGCAAAAAGTTTTAAAATAGACGAGAAAGAAAACTTTGTCACTTCTTCGTCAGTTGCGCGCGTAGATTTCCCATATCAGCAAATTTTCTTTTCTTATTCTTTCTTGTTGTCCTTTTGTGTCTTTGTGTGTGTGTGTGTGTTTCTTGGCTGAGGGTCGACAAAAAAGTTTTGTGCTGTAGGAATAGCAGAATTGCAAGAAAAGTAGGAAAGAAAAAAGGGCTTAAAGTTTGTCGCTGGCGTTCGCACAAAATATCTTGCCTTGACTGCCAGCTGTGGCACAGTGTGAAATATTAATAAAAAAAATATGTATATACAATTCATATACTATACTGTATAGTACATATTATATGTAACAGCAAAATGCATTAAAGTCAAGCGTAACTCTCACAGCGTCGGGGGCTTGTTTGGCTTGACTTTTTCCCTCTACAAAAAGCGTTGCATACTGCGGGGCGCCGTTCATTTCGCGCAACACCACTAGCATTGCAGCCAATTATAGTGTAAATGCATTAAAAACAATCACAGGCCAAATTAGCTGCATCGCAGAGTTGTTTTTGTGCTTGGTTTTTCCTGCTTTTGCTGTCATTGTTGCCGTTACTGTTCAGCCACATAGCTTTTTTAATTAATTTTACAAATAATCAAATGATGCATTTTGACATTTTGTGGTAGATTCATAAAGCCCAGCATGCCGTGCAGCAAATTAGCTGGCAACAATATAATTAAATATATATTTTTATATAATATATTATATAATAATGACGAAAAAAGCTCTTCCCCGCTTAAAACTGCTTAAATGCATTATTATTGCAAATTAATTCAATTCATAGCTGCCGTTCATTTATGCTCCGACTATTGTCTTGCATTGTGACACATGCACATGGATATAGGTTTGAAAATATGACAGAAGTTATTTGGAAATCGCATTATATGTTAGCTTCCCTGTCATGCCGTTAATTGCAACATTTCCAAACCTATTTGAACCTGATTTTCAAACAATGCCAGCACGTGTGTTATTACGTTTTAATACATTCATTTAATTTAGGCGATTAGCGGCCACGATTAGCAACACAGCCACAAACTAATACACTGAATCTATGGTGTGGGAATTGTTAATTGTAAAGGACTATACCTATTATTATGCAGCTACATAAATTTTAACATGGACATTGCTTGGTGTCGAATATACAGAAATAAAAAATAAAATAAAACATGGATTTTGAATAAATTGTTTAAATTCATTTGTAACAACAAATAAGTAACAGTCACTAATCTAAAACAAAACAAAATGAAATATGCAACAAATGGAATTCCAAAACCCAACGCTTAATTAAATATTGAATTTCAAATGCTAGTTAATAATAAATACGTATAAAGAGCAACACTAAACAAATATAACGTACGAAAGAAATGTCTAATAGAGAAAAACCGTATCTAAATGAGAACTTAAATTGAATTTTTTTGTTTAAGTTTTTTCGTTTCTTGCTGTCAAAGTATATCACAAAAATTTTTAAATAAACAACTCTTGTATAAAAATGAATTACCACAGTTGTTTGTCTTAGAAAGTAAAATCAATCGATTGCAAGCGATCTAATAAACAAATAAATAAACCAAAAATTGTGAAAATATATAAAACTTTGTTCGGAGCCCATTCCTTCTTGCCAATATTAAAGAATAGTTGAGGATGTCGAGTTTTAGATAATCTCTTAAGTCATTATCCTTTATTATTATGAAATTTCTTGCCATGTGATTAGATTTAAAATTAGGCAATAAACTAAATTCAGTTTATCAACTTAATTATAAAATTGTAGAAAGGTATGAAAGATAGATGCTTAAAAATGGACAAAGCTACAAAAATGTGGTAAAGATTTCCCACTTTTCTGCTTGTGTAATAAATTAAAATTATTTATATACTATAAATATTATTCGCATTTTTGCGCAATCTATTGTCAGTGGTTAACATTTAATTATCTACGCAACATTCAGTTTCCAACGATGAAAACTTTTAGGTATTTAATTATGAAATCGTACGAAAACTACCACAACTAAGTAAAGTCTGTATAAATTCCTTTATTATTTTAAATTAAACGTACCCCACCTTAATCCCGTGGTGGCACTTACATAACCCATAAGGCTTACTCTAGGTTTCGGCAATTGCGCATTGCGCCGACCACTTCAACCACTTATAGCCACTCGCACTGAACTTTATTTTTTTTGCCTTACAATATTATTGCAGGGCATGCGAATGTCGGGAGAGAGCTCGGAAATCATGCACTTGACGCAGCTGGAGCGTGAGAGTGCAGGAGCGTACGCGTGCGGAGCGACGAACACGGAGGGGGAGACACGCAGCTCGAGTTTGACGCTAAAAGTGCAATGTAAGTTGAAATGTGGCCGCTGGCACCCACAGTATGAACGAAATACGAGTACAATGCAATCATAATAACAGTTTCATGTGCAATTGTATCCTTGGATGTGTGTGTGTTGTACTAGTAAGAGAAGTAACGGCACATAACGCCGTAGCTGATGAAACCGGAACCGGAAGCTGCAAAATAAAATCAACTGGCAAATAAAGAAAATGTAAAGAAAGCAAATATGTAAGCCAAATGAAAGTTGCCAACTATGGGAGCGGATAAGGGAAATTGCTTAGAAATGATGCATGGCCATGTTGCATGTCCGTGTTTACAGTTTCAAAACATTTCTCTCCACTCCTAATAAACGCCACACCCATACTCATACAGCCAAGTCCACCAAAAGTTTGCCTATAAATTCAGCAGCCGCCATTTTTTCCCCCAGCAACTTTTTCATGAACTTCATCGCATAGCCTAAAGAGCAAGCCACAAACACAAAATTCTAGCCACAATTTCTTTTTTTTTCGACTGTGATTAATGTTGATTTCATATACAAGCGATTTGCCTGCTGCCAGCTGTATATAAATCACAAAAAAATAGAAAGCGAAACCGCCAGCATCCTATATAAATTGCGCGCACGAAAATCGATGAGTGCTACAGATTTAACAACGTTCAAAACAAACACACATACATACACATAGCCACTCCCACTCCCATAGCCATGCACACACAAAGAGCAAGTTTAAGCAAAATATGTTTCCTCACTCCTGGCCATCATCATATGATTTGATGTGCAACTTGTTCCGCTCACTTTTTAGGTTAAGCAGCCGAATATATAAGAACTTTTGCCCCATTGCATTGGCAATGGAAAGAGTTTTGTTTCCCCACGGTTTCTGCTGCTGTTGTTGTTGTTGTTACTCGTACTGTTGCTATTGTGTTGGCATTGGGCTTGCTCTGCCCGTCTTACTTCCAAAATTTATTGTGTCAACTTACAAGTGGAAGGAGCTTTCCGAGCAGAGCAAGCAACTCAATGCCAAAAATTGTCGGTGAACACTTCTGAAGATGCATAGAGTTTCTTAAGCTCCGGCTGCAATCCCTTCCTGCTCTTTCTTCCCTACCCCTCACCAGCTTCCACCAATCTCCATAGACTACACTCCGCATTGCTTGCTGAATGTCTGCGTTTTTATGCTTTACGACACTTTAAGTAGTTTATACTTCGAATTATAAAAGTTTCAAGTTGCCGGCTCTGCTGCAACAGAGTTCTTAACGACCAGTTGTTGTAGGTAACGGCTACACACTCTCGTACACAAATACCACATACACATGAAAAAGAGCAACAAGTACACCCATACGAGTAGATTCCGTTTCGTCGTCTTGCCATGCACAGCTTAAATGTTTGAAATGCTGAAATGCTGAAATGCAGACATCTTGTGATAAGAGCGCCAAGTAATAAAGCGCAAAACGCTTATCTGCCTTCGCGTGACTTACATTTTAAAGGCAGCTTTCAGCACTGAGCTATCTGCCTCTTTCTTTCTCTATATCGCTGCCCTCCTCCACCTTTTGTGCCTGAGGCCCGACAACGAAGCTTCCGCATATTTGCTCTCATTTGCAGCGCTCGAAAGTCGAGTGAAAGTATACATCGTCGTCATCTTCCAATACTGGTACGAGTGCCTGGTACGAGTACCTGCCGCACATACTCTTCTGAGATTTATCCGCTTCAAAACGTAAACAAGGCAGCAACAACAACACAGCAGCAGCAGCAAAAACTGTAACAACTGGGACAACAGAAGAGGACGCGCGTCAACCCCGGGCTCATGAAACGGAAACATGTTAATTACTATGCTCAAGGCTATGTGGCTGGCTGTTCCTCCTTATAATATGTACTTGCTTATTTTTTAGCTGTTAAGTTTTTTTGTTTTGTTGCTGCCGAGCGTGCGTCTCAGCCCCCAGGGAGGGAGGGCGGTAGGGGGAGAGACGCACAGTTGGAAGCGGCAACTGGTCTGGGACTTTGCCACTGCTGTTCATATTTGAAAACTGAAAGCAATTTGAAAAATAAAACTTTTATTTATGAACTTTTTCATCCGCCCTATTCCGTACCTTTTTCCCACCATTTCAGTCTCGCCGCGCTGTAAGCCAGGTACTGAGCAAACATCCATCGGCGCCATCAACATGCACTCAATACAGGTCAAATGCGAAGTGGACGCTGATCCGCCGGACTCGGTCAAATTCAGCTGGACGTACAACAACACAAGAAATGTGTCACCGGTAAGTAGGAAAAAGACAAAAGACGTTGAAAAGACCAGCGTCGAAGCAGTTAAATCAGAGAATCTTAAATCAACTTTAAAATGCGCTAAAAAAGGTTCTTATTTGCTTCTACTTTTTAAATTGTGCTACCAAGCATTAAGTTGCTGAATTAAGTTGCACAAATACATGGAATATCACAAAATTCATAACAATGCCACACATTTCAATTAAATCTACTACCCATCGTACTTATATATTATATAAAGAACTTTTAAGAACTCCAGAGAAAAGTAAACCTTTTGGACTTCATTTAGAGAACTAGAGAGTTGAGCTTTAGGGTTTGTTTTTAAAAGTATTCATTTGTAACATCATGCTTTCCTTCTAACCTTTCCCGAGTGAAAGGAATTCTTAGCCTGGAAACATCTTAGGTTTCTCTAAAAAGCTAATGCTGCGTCTGAACGCATCCCAACTTCTTTGATATTCCCTACACATGCACTTATTGATTTTGCCGAAAAGTGAAAACCCTGGGCGTAGTCGCGCTGACTGCTCAGCTATTAGCAAAACTTGTGCTAAATACTTGCAGCAACTAAGAAAGCACAGCAAAGACAGCCACACACAGACACGAATACATATACTTGTGTACATAGAAATAGAAATCGGACGACGACTGACAACAGTATGGGTTGGAAAGAACAATGGCGAGCTGACGAACAAAAGCCATGCGGGAATCAGACACAAGCAACATTGTACGTGACTGAATTAAAATTTAATCAAAATGTATAAATTGTGCATTGGAGCAGTGGCACAAGGCAGCCGAAAGGCAGTACTCGAGCAGAATGCTGCGAATGTGTTTGGCATGGAGCTGGCAGCATGAGTTTGCAGCTTGGCACTTGGTATCTTTTGGCAACTCATTTGAAATGCAAACCGTTTAGGTGAGAAGCTGTCGGTCTCAATGCAGCAAATTCAAGGCAGCCTGCAAAGTCGAGACACATGTGAAAGGAACACATACACACACTCAAATATGTTTGTATATACTATGTGTATGGAAGATGTTACAAGTATGGACAGGCAGAGAGAGCTGTGTACAATAAATAAAGTAATTCATTTACCACAAAAGTTATTTGAAAATCTACACGAAAATCCCTGCAGCCAAGACTGTGGCTCGACTCCAACTCGTTTCGACTTATCTATCTGTTTGCTTTGCAATAAAAACTTATTTGCCTTCAAATATTTATGCTTAGCTCAGTGTCTGTGCGTCCATTCCATGTATTTGTGCAGTTTTGCCTACGCTGCGCAAAATCTTTTACACGAAACTACCCAGATATGGGCCAACGAACAACTAACCTGCTTGACTCTAATCCTTGCTCAACGCTACCGTTTTTCCACACACACACACACACACACACACACACACACATACACGTGAATACATATATACTTACTTTCGCTTACAGGTGCTCAACTCGAGAATACAATCCAATGGACTGGCAAGCACGGTGACGTATCTCCCGCAAACGGATTCCGAGTTAATAACGCTCGCTTGCTGGGCAAGCAATGCGGTGGGCAGACAGACGGTGCCCTGCCTCGTTCACATACTGCCAGCGAGTAAGTAGAGGGGAAGTGGTTGTTTGGTAAGATGGAGGGAGGGGAGAGGGACAGGCGAATGAAGAAGACGCCAGACGAAAGACGCCGCAGTTACAGAAACCGCAATTTAAACAAGATAGAGGAGAAGACGCCGGTAAGCGGCAGTCCTTAGACGGCATTTGCTTCTTGTTGGTCCTGCTATCGTTTGGCGTTGTGGTTCTCAGACTCTATGTTATGTACACATAAGGATCTACTTACATAATTGGTTGGTGTGTGTTGGGAAATTGCATGCGGCGCAGTCACTACTTGCTTTCTACACTAAAAGCAATTGAGCAGTCCCTGCATATGCTTCAGAAATTAGTCATGTAATGCAAATTATTGCCTCACCAATCGTTACATCCTAAATGCCGCTGAAAATGTAACGCGTACGCGTGCTATAAGTAAATAACAAGCAATATAAATAAGTCAAATTGCTTTACTTTATATTTTTTCATCATAAAGGTTGTCATAAATGAACATTTTCCAGTTCTAGACTGGCTGCCAACTACAAATCCAACCACAAGCAATCCATTAAAACAGCGAGCAGTGTGTTCGTTTGGCTATTAAGAATACTTATCAAAATGATGTTATGTAATGGATATTTTGTTCACATTTCTAAACATGGGCTAAATAATTCTGCGAGTGTATTCCTTTCCTACGCATTGCTGCTCTCAGCACTTGCATATATTTTGGCCAAATACTCGTATAAGCTAATACTACGGAAGTTGGGCGGCACGTTTACTATAACTATAGCATATAGTACTTTTGCTTTACCCCCGACTGCTCGTATTGACTATTATTTCAGCACATAGTTCTATACACAAGATTTTCGCCGTTATTAATGCAAACACCTGCACCTGCCCCCACCCATACATACATACACACACACAAACACACAGACATAAACACTGCCGAATAAACCAGTAATTTGCACTACTGCAGCTTTTGCCAACCGGGCAACTGCCTTTTATTTGGCCAAAGTGGCCATTTAATGCGCTCGAACATTTTTCGTTGGCAATTCAAAATGCAAATTGCAAATTCCACAATTGCTGCACATTTTCTTGGGCGCAATTATGTGTGCGGCCATTTTGAAGTAAGCGCACCATTAGCCGGGCCATGACTAACTACTATCTGTCTCCTTCCTCTTTTCGTCCTTCTTACCAGATGCGCCGGAGGCTCCTAAGGCCTGCGAACTACGGAACGATACGGTCCTTGAAGTGGTCTGCGTGGCGGGCAGCGATGGTGGACTCTCACAATACTTTCTGCTCGAGGTGGTGGGCGGAGATTTGCTTTATGCCAGCGAGTCGGGTCGACAGTTTGGGGAAGCAGCCGGCCTAGGCGACAATGAGATATCTACGCTGAACGATCAGGTGAGTGCCATGGTTAGGCCATCCATCGTCCTAACTAATTGAGTTGGCATTCACTCTAGTCAAATTGCATAAAAACTTGAAGTAAATCAATAGGTTTAGTCAAATTTATGTAACCTGATTGAAGTGAGGCGTTTAAGGTTGGCCAAACTAATTGAATTAAAATTCATTTTCCAACCGGCAAGCAGCAGCCCCACTTTGGGGCAGAGCACAATAATTCACTTGAAATCCATATGGTCAATTAGTGTGCAGCTCCTTTTTGACTTTTCTGCATGAATTATTAATAAACAGATAGCTGGGGCAACGTCTAGGGTTACATTGCCAGTTAGGTGAGGGTTAGCCAGCGCAGCTGGCCAACAACGAGCGCTCAGCTCAAGCGTAAAAAGGACAACATAATTAATGCTATAAGTTTCCATGTGTGTGCTTGCCACGAGGCAAACATTTTAAGCAGAGATGTCTCAGTTCAGCTCGCTTACAACCACAACAACAAGCACAAATAGCAAAAATAGAGATAGAAATGGAAAAAGTGCTGAGCTCAGCTAAGCTTAAAGCCAAGGCTGGCGAGTGAACGAACGAACGCACGCTGAGTTATTAAATTATCTCTGTTGTAGAGACTCGTAAAAGAGAATATCATATGAAAATTTCATTTCATTTCGTTTCGCTACTCCCACCTACTTGAGAGAGAGAGAGAGATCTCTATGGGTTTCTGTTGATGAAACGCTTGCCGGGAGTTTATTAGAAAAGTAGCCAAGCGCAAAGCAGCCGTCGACCTATGTATATTGAAGATGGAAGCTGAAAAAGGCGGCAATAATGATAATGATGGCGACAAGAAACAGTCAGATGCATGACCAGTAAGGCCACTTTAAAGTCGTTGCTAGATAAAAAATAAAAACAAAAACTGCCACACGCATGCATCCAGAGATATTGGACGAGAGAAAATGAGAAAATTTGTAGCCCGTGTTGGGGAAGAGTGACGATGACATAAATTACTTACGCTTACTTGAGTGGGAATTTGTGCGTAACCAACGAAGCTCGCTCGATTGTGTCCCATTACGGCAAACGGATATACAGTTTAAAATTTGCGACAGCTTTCATACATCCATACATATGTATATGAAAGTGTGTATGTGCTTTGGACATGTGTGTAGAAAAGTGGTCAGAACACAAGGCACCACAATATGGACAAATTTTTAGGCATGAATAATTATTTATGTATTTGATAGAAAGTTTTCTCCCCACAAGTTAAAAACAGACGCGGCAAGCAAAGAAGGAGAGACAGAGACTAAATATTTGCGTAGCACACTTTTCGGCATGCATATGTGAGCATATGGCAAATGAATTATATATGTTTCTCTAGCAACTTCTGCTCCAGCTGCATGAGTTGGCTGCTGTTGCTGTTGTCTTCGAGTTAAAGTTGTACAAGTATATATATGTATATAGATTTATATATGTACAGTCGAGTCTATACAAAATAAAAACGCCCCTTGCTGCATACTTTCAGGCGACATCTGCACCCATCTTTCGCATGCAGGAGAACAGTCCACAATTTCGTTTGAATAATTTAGAGCCCGGACGTGAATATCAATTTTTAGTTTACGCCGTCAACGCAAAGGGACGCAGCGAGCCGCCGGTGGTGATTGAGCGTGTGCGCGTGGCTGCGCAACTGGGACCATATGGTGAGTACTATGTATTTAAGCTAAGAATATATACATACATAGGTGTATGGGAGACACATATGTATATATGTAGTACACATTCGCTTATATCAGCTGTCCGCATAATCACATAAAATTTAGAAAATATTTGCGTGTGCGCACAATGTGAAATTATTTGCGGGTCAGTATGTTTCTTCCCCTTCCCTGCGGCGCCCTCAGCCGAGGCTAATAAAAAACTGAATGATGACGCATAGATGAGGGGGGTAGAGAGTTTGAGGGACACGTAGACTCGCAAGCAGCCGGACGGTGTCTAATTCAATGCTTGACTGCATTTCGAAATCAACGTACAGCAAGTTTAAGCAAATCATCTTCAATCAAGCAGCAGTCGCCGCTGCACGCATGGCCAAAGACAACCTGCCATTCTTCGAATATGCCTCATGCCAACGCCTGCCTCCTAATACAACAACCACAACAACAACTACAAAAACTACAACAAACAGCAGCGACAGCAGGCCGCCCTTTTCTAATCCACTGACTGAGTTATGCAGTGAAGCGTAAAGCATTTCAACATTTTCCATCAATTCATTGCTGAGGCAAGCGCTGAGCTATATTCGTAGTCGTACTCGCACTCGTATTACGTATACGCCGCATAGGGCGTGCCACTACAGCCTCTTCATTTTGCTGCTTAACGACATAATGTGCAGGCGACTCGCTATACTATACATGTGTAGGCCCGCATGTGTGTGTCATTGGCAATGCTTTTCTTTATTTCATGCCCTGCCATTTTCCCGACAACAACAAAACCGAATGAGCGAACGGACACAAATACACAAAAGCAAAGCGAAAAAAATTAAATTGCTTCAATTTTCGTTTTGCTTAACGGCTGCCGTAGACACTTTGCTTTTATTGTTTGTTTCGTTCTTTTCTTCTTCTTCTTCTTCTTTTTTGCCCAAATTTTTTGCTCATATGTACGGCATTTCCGAGACGTGCCTCCCACACGGCGTATGCGTAACGCACCGTACCCAAAAGTAACGCAATTCATATAACTACAACAATGCTCTTGTCATTATTCTTATGCTGATTTTTATTTTTATCTGCACTTCCATTACCATTTTTATTTGTTGCGCCAACGCCTCCCATAACTCCACACTGGCCCTGAGTCTGTATGTGTCCTGTCCGTATGTGAACGCGTGTTGCCGAGTAGTCACAGTAAATCCTGTAAATCAATGCAACAACTAATAGGTATAAAACTATACGTAAAGTACAGCTAAGTACTCGTACTGTGTATCAATGGGTATAAAGATTAATAATGAGGCAAAGAGAACGATGTAAGTTCGTATTAATGGGGAAAAAGCCTTCAACGATGAAAGTAATTCAGATGCACTCATAAACTTACCCATGAATGTAAATAACGACAGGCATTTATATCAAGTTTACATTTATTTTACCCTGACTTCAGTAATAAAATATTAATTATTTTATATTTTCCCAAACGGCGCTTCAACAACTGCACAAGTACTATACATTTAAGCGATACGCCAAAGGCATCTGCACGATTATAAGTGTACTTATCTGCTTTCAGAAAATATATTTGTATTGAAATGTCAAATTTATGTGTTTATTTATAAAATCTTTATGGACTTTTACTTTATTCCCTGCCTGTATAGATTATATAAGTACATTCAATGTTGTTAGATTATATCTGCCTGTAAAATATAGAATTCAGTGAAGAAATTGTTAAAACAACACCAAACGATCTGGAACTTAAATATGTAAGATACAAAGAGACGGATTTTAATGATCTAGCTTGTTTTCAAGCTGAGGGAATGGTATAGAATAGAAAAGAAGCAAACAACAAGCGCAGAGAACGCTTCGGGAATTTTATTGTGATATTGCTATCCGGTCGTTCATTGGATGTACAAAGGTCAGCATATGCGATATCCATATGAATATCTGTGCATTCTATAGAATGACTCATCTTATCAAGCTGATCAAGTATTTTTATACTTTGTGGGGCTACCAAGCTACCTTCTGAGTAGAACAAGATAGATAAAGTTAAAAGATAAAGTAGAAAATTAATATAAAGGTTGTTTTTGCCTGAAGAAAATAACCTTCAAAACTGGAAATACCTCCAATCAAAAATAGGAGGAGCTACTAACATAAGCAAGATTCACTGTATTTAGCCTAATGGCCATTTCATTTCATTTGCATTTAAGCGTTGGGCTTAAGACTGGCTTAGCGAATTCACCATACTATATAGCATTCATATTGTCGATTCAGTGGCGCTAATTGTATTTTATTTTCACGCAGATGTCAGAAATGTTTGATTAAATAGCAAAAACCTCAATTATACGTCAATGCACGGCGTAGTTGTTGTTGTTGTTGTTGTTATTACTCAGCCTTATTTACATGAAAAAATTGCCCCTGAAATCGTCAGCATCTGCTACAGCTCCATCTAAGCGAATGCTACTCAGTTACTTATAAGCATTTAATGTGAGTCCTTGTTCTATGCGCTGTTCTCTGCCTGTATTTATATTTGTATCTGTGTTTGTGCCTCTCTCTATTAGAGTGTTTGTGCGTTAATGGGTGGCAGGCAAGTAGCAACGCATAAATTCGGCATGTTTTGACCTCGAGCGCTGAACAATGCCTGTGATTACAAAAGCGGACATAAACACAACCAAAGAAAAGATGGAGGCGGTCGGAAGAATGGGTAAAAAGTACGACAAAGAAGCCAGCGATGACAGTTGGGCAAACAATACGCTGAAACATCCTTAAGTAAATGCGCCCCCAAATCATGCAAGTGCGACCCTAATTTATGCCAAATTTTAAGAGCCCACGCTTTTCTTATTTGCATGCGAGTATCGCTACGAAAACACGCACAGACCGAGCCCCAATTCACGCCCACGTGCTGCTCATAGCTCATAAGATAAACACTGTGGCATAAGTGTGACCATGAAAGTAAATGGGGGGTGATATTAATGTACCCAAACTACCTAAAAAAATGTCCTTGATATTTGGATATTTCTTAAAGTAACAGAAGGATTTCTTCGCATTTTCTTAAATCTGCAACATTAATTATATTGGAAATGTACACATTTTCTTATTATACTGAACACTCAAAGAGCTAGAATTTTTTTTAATGAATAAATTATTTTATGATTGATTTTCAAAGCAATTAAATTCTTTGACTATTGCCAGCACTTCTAAAGAGTTGTAAGAACTGTAAATACTTGTATGCTCCCATCTGCGTCAGCTTTTATTCTTTTTGAAATGGCTTTTGGTTTTGGATTAGTTGCATTAAACTGTTGCATACCTGCAATTATTAATTAATTACTAATTAAAATGTAATTGAAATGTTTAATTTTGTATGCAAAAATAAATTGAGGAGTAAGTCTTCCAAAAAAAAAAAGAAGGTAGTTAAGAATGTATGAGAAACAAATATAATTGACACTAATCGATTGCTCATGACACGCCACGATAAAGAAAGAAAACCTCTACACCTCTTGCTGAAAACACACAAAAACGCAAGCGAACGCGACAGCTGGCAGAAAAGCCCATACGGTCTCATTAAATTATATATTTTATTGTTTAAAAAGCAGACAATTCAATATTTAAAGTAGAGCTCAAAATTGTTTGAACAAATACTCTCTTGACAGTAATATTCTCACCTGGTCAAGGACCTGCGATTTACAAAAATCCGCCCTGCATATAAATAATAATTTTAATAAAAACAATATTGGAAAAGAATGTAATGAGGCGTTCAGACCTGCGTAGAACACACCGACTAGTTAGTGGCCGGGGTCGACTTAAATAATCAATTTACGCAGAGCTCCTCAAGCGAATTTATTACATTTTTTGCTTTGAGCTAGCAAAACGAAATGAAAAACGCTTGCAGCATAGCCAGAACAGCAGCAATAAAAGCAGCAAAGACAAGAGCAACAACAACAGAAAAGGATAGGATAAGGCCACTTGAGTTAGGGGAAATAAATAAATATGCCATATAATAGCAAAAAAAAAAAAAGGTAAACCAAAGCTCAGCCTGGCAGCTGATTAAAATTATTTAAAATAAAAAAACACAAACAACTACAACATCACAAATACCGAAGCAACAGGGAGGCGAGGAAACATGAAAAGGAGAAGGCGTGGGCGAAGGCGAAGGCAAAGGGCAAACAGCAGAAGCAACAAGAACAATACAGAGAATGGCAGGCATCTAGCAACGGCGTCTGCAATAACAAAAATTAAATTGAGCCGCAGGTGTAGGCAATTTCCACTTAAACGCTCACTTCAAAAGCCAGAAGGCGGCTGGCCAGGTTAGGGCAGATCGTCAGTCATTGCGCCAACCAGTCTGCCAACGAGGGCTGCCAAGCCTGCATGTTGGCAATGTTTCAACATGGCCGCCGCTTTGGCTTTGAACCGACAACTCAACACACAAGCTCGCGCGCACAAATGGAGCGGAAACGGTCCGAGAAGTGGGACGCTGCAGGGGGCAGGAATGGTGATGATGCTGATGGCGATGGTGATGGTGATGGCGATAGAATAGGGGAAAGCACAGCAAGCAACCGTGAGGATATGGGCAGGTGCCAGGCATAAACGAATGTCTTACATAAATCTTGCCAAAGGATCATCTTGCAATCAGTTTTTCTTTGACTGCCATTGCTTTTGCTCATGTTTCTGTTGTTGTTGTTGTTGTTGCTATTATTATACTGTAATTTGTGCTTGTTCATCTTACTGAAAATCTAATAAATATAAACAATGGTGCTCACATGTTGCTGATAATTGCCAAAGCTTTGCATTGCTGAAGGTTCGTTTGCGCGGCACACCATAACGAATGCCATCAAATGTAATCTGCAGCAATAAGTGTGCAAATGAGTTAAGTTTGCGTAATACCCGATGTCTAGTTGAGGTGAATAGGGAGTTAAGGGGGTTAGTTGATGGCAGGGTAACCGACCGGCTGGCTGGCTGGCTACAGTGGAACGCGCTAATTGCGCAGCAAGCTTTTCCAATTTTTTCGATTTTTGTATGGCAAGTGGTCACTAATTAAAGTCAAGTTGAGGACTGAGACTTCAAGAGCTGCTGCTCACGTACATAGGAAAAATAACAACAAAAACAACAACAACACAAAGACAACAACTTCATAGACGACTGAGTAATTTCGCTAATTTCAATTTTCAACACAATTTGCCAGAGAAAGAGAGTGAGAGGCAGAAATAAACAAACAGGCAGACACACCCAAACTCACATAGAACCGAACAAACAAACAAACAAACAAGTGAAAGAACAACAAGAAAATGTAAAGAAAATACAATAAACAAATGCCAGGCAAAGGAGTGTAGAAAACAGTTAAGCAATCAGTTAAGCAAAAGGCAGAACGTGCGCGCATGCCAAAAAGAAAAGGCAGCAAAACAAAATAAAAACAAAAATAGGAGTACGAGTATACAGAAGCAGCGACAGGAGAAAATAAATAAATAGCAAAGGCAGACAACACTGAACAGCTGAAGAATGGGGAAATTAGAGATGAAGGAGGGCGGCAACAACGAAAACAAACAGAAATCAGCAGCCAGGCCGGCAACATCAAACTAATTTCGAGCAAATAACAAATCATTGTGGTCAGCCTCAAGTGTCTAGTCGTTGAGGCAGCGAAAGGCTCCACCTAAGCCAACGGCACTATCTACTGTCCACACACGATAAAATGAATATATTAACCAAAACACGTTTCAATATAAATATCAGCAGACGATTCCATTTTCAATTGTGTAATGAAATATTGAAAAATATATTTAAAAATAACATGTGTTCAATGCATAAACGAATAAACAAAACAATCAGAGTAAAGAATCTGAATTACAAATTAATATTGCACAGAGTTAAGAGCAAAAATGTAGTCTAGATATACCTAGATAAACCTGCCTGCTATACACAAGACCTGATGATCCTTTTTACCTCTCGGGTATATACTTGTATTATATAATTACCAACTGCAGATTGAAAATTTGGGACATCAATCTGCAATGAGTCCGATAATATTTGATTTACTTTTAAAAGTACAAGGACTGATATAGCCCGTAATTGAAAAGTCTACAATACAAATAGAATATTTGAAAAATTATCAGCAAAGGTGGTGGGGGTCTTATAGTATTTCTTCGAAATTGAAAATCGTTAATAAAGTAAATGTCTAGAATATCAATACTACATTTTCGTAGTACTTTATTGTCTTCTATAAGTGACTAATCACTTTATCCTTTTTTCTCTTATTTTATCTGCAGATGAATCGATTCTGTCGGAGGATCCAACGCCAGCGGAAACAACGCATCATGTGGGCGGCAGCAGCGGAAGCGGCACCAGCGGAGCTGGGACCGGCGCCAGCACCGGCAGTGGACCCGAGAAGCAATCGACGCTACTAATACTCGCCGCTGTGGTGGCGATAGGTGCCGTCATTGTGACGTCAATTATCGTAGCTGGCATTGTGGTAGTCTGCAGGCATCGGCCGCGACCACCTGAGCCGCAGGAAGTCCGCAAGAGCATGCGGTAAGTGAAATAGAATATTAGATACTTGTGTGTGTAAGGCCGGCCTTACTCCCATTGTTTGGGGTTAAGGCAAAACGAATATAATATAAATAAAAACTAATAACGATATTGTATAGTATGCCAAGGTTTGTGTATATACATATGTATATGTACGTGGGAATGTGTGTGTGTGAGAGCGTGCTTGTGTATGTGCAAAAATAATTACAGCATTATTTATGTGTGGCACGTGAGCGCCACATTCGCATGCCACACTGCTGCCAGGATGGCGATGCTAGCCCAGAAACTGGCAACAGGAAGCGCGTGCTCAGAGGCAGAGGGTGGGCCGCTCATTGCTTATGCTTATTACATAAAGCAATGTAATTAAATACGCTGTGCAAGATAAATGACTGATTAATAAATTGCATCATAAACGCAAGGTCAGGCATAATGAATACGCCCATTCTCTCAGGCAGAATTGGCCTTTTTTCTTTCGCTACTCTCTCTCTCTCTCTCTCTCTCTCTCTCTCTCTCTCTCTGTTGGACTTCCCCATCCACTTTAAAGTCTCTTCAAATCAATGCTAGCTCATCAAGCCATCAACCTGATTGCCACACAACTGAACCTGCAGCCAATTGATTGGGTAAAGCGCCCTTTCCCAACCCTAATCTCACCCACGCCTCGACCCCGCAGCTCATCAAAGTTAAACGAAGAGCACGCACTTGCCCACTAAATTATGCTTAGACTGTAATTAAATTAATTAAACCCACCTGCAATAGAACCCAAGCTCCTTACCCCATCGCCGTTGAAAGGACGAAACGTGAGAGTGCTTAGGTAAAAATCAAAATGAACGACACACCGATGCTAACGGAAGCTGAAGTTGGTGTCGCTCGTCCACGAGGGTTAGAAAAATTGAGCGCCATTTAAGATAAGAAATCAGCATGAGCCCGTCCTTGGGGTGGAGCAGCTATGTATGGGTAAAGCAGCGTTCCTCTATGAAGTTCCCTGTGAGCCTGCACATAATTAAGCAGCTGTTTATGCCTGTGTGCGGGTCTGCACCTATATATATACTCGGATATGTACAATACAAGGTTAGCAGCTGACCAGAGCACAGTGGGCTTGTTTCAAGCAATAAGAAGAAGGTATTATTAAACATTGGAAATTATTTTTATACTCTGTACCTACAAAGTAAAATGGGTATATGAGGTTTGTGCAAAGTATGAACAACAGGCAGGTGGAGGCATCGCCGACCCCATAAGGGTCCTATATGTATTCTTTATCAGAATGATGAGGCGAACTGATAATGCTATATTCGTCTGTTTGTCGGTCTGGATGAAAGCCTGGATTTCGGAAACGATTGGGCGCACTTTGACCAAACATTGTGTGTAGACTCTCTTAATCCCTAGGCTATACAAGTTTATTTTAATTTTCGATTTCAACGGACGGGGTTGAATAACAGAATTTTGTCAATACTGTCCACATTTCCAAAATCTACACATTTTGCACATTCTCATTCTCGAATTTCATTTCAAAGTTATTCTAAATCCATTGATTTTAAAAAAAGTGTTTAGCGAAATAATTTTATTCCAGTACTACGCCCACAAAATGCAGCATCATCTTCTTATTTTTGCTTTGAGTATAGGGTATTTTATTGTCGGGTTTTCTTAACGGTTTAATTTTCAATAATTTCCTTTTAATAGAGAACAACTCGCTCATTATCTCTAATTCTTTTCCTGAACAACAATTCATTTAAACACTCGAATATACTACTAATTCATTTTATTTAAAATTAAGCACTTATGTTATTTAATTTTTAGGCACATGTCGGAGCCAAATAGGATAACGTGTTTCGTATCCACCCAACAATCTAGTATACCCTTTTATGCTTGGCGTAGAGGGTATACAAATTAATTGTGCTTTTGTAATCTTGGGTCACTCTACCTTGCTCTGCCTCTATCCCTGTTTTAGTCTCTACATCGCCTGTTTCTGACTCTGAAACTTCTATAGGGGCCCGCAAAGCACTTAATGTTCGTGCCGTTTCTCTTCCTGTCCTTCTCAGATCCTTATCGTCGTTCGCTTTGGATGTGCCTATTTAGACAGCTTTCCTTGTAGTTTGTCGCCACTCTTCACACCTATCTTCTTACCTGATTGTTTTTATTGATGTTGCAGCTTATCTTGATTATCTGCTGAGCATCTTGCTGCCTCGCTCGCTTTTCATTACACTCCTCCTGCATCCTCCCACCATGGCTCTAATGAGGCAATTTCTGGCATCGGCCTAGTACCGCTAGTACTAGTACTATTCATAAATTTGCCTATTTTTCGTGCAGGCATTGCGGGCCCCTTATTGCTTAATAATTAATTTATGCGCACACTTCAAAGCAAAAGGCACCAAATATTAATTATAAATGGCAGAAAAGTTTCACAAATAAAACAGCCAAACGAAAATAGCAGCTTCGACGTCGACGCCGATGCCAGCACTTCAAAGGCAAATATTATGCGGGTCATTAAATGGTCAATGGAAAATGAATACGTGCAACTGAAAACTAGAAAAGGCTGTGGAGCTGTCCAAATTTTGTCTGTTCCGGTGCCGTTCTTCGGTTGTCCGTTTGTAGTCATTTCTTCTGGCTGCTGACAAAACGTGAAAATTTAGATTTATATTGGCAAGGGGCTCATTTTTCGTGGTGACATGCGGCTCTCGAGCGTGCTCATAAATAAAATTTCACCAGCTGCTGGCAGGTGTGTTTGCCATATCAGTCCTGTCCGTCTGTCTGTCCGCTCATCCATCCGTTCGTGCGTGTGTGTTGCTGTGCCTATGCATAAATTTTAATGATTTGCCGCTGCGGTAATGTGTTTCATAGAAGTATTAGTGCAAATATTTAAACATGTAGGAGAACATATGCGCCGGCATACAATTATATCTATGGTGTACTATCGAGGAGTGTGAGTGAGGAGTGTGTGTTTGTATTAAGTTTGGCGCCATCTCATTGACTAAAATGTCGCACGGGCTGTGGGAGTGCGTGCTTCAATTAGCAGTCTAGCTGTCATTTATTTAATTAACAACACGCCAGCGAGCAACTGATTAAAATTGTAATGGCAAAACATCTGCTGGTACTCGTATGTTACAAAATTGTCAGCCGCCAAATCAAAGCACGTTGCACATCAAAGTGGCGCAAACCAACGTGAAATTCAGCAATTCAGTAATTCCGTAATTTGTCAAATGTTTGTCGGGCTTCTGTTTTGTGGCACGTGCAGTTGACTGGTTACGCTCAGTTCATACGAACTTAATTATTTCAACAGAATCGCAATCAAAGAGAGTCCCATTCCTTAGCGGTGCTGGAAATTGAAAAAATGTTGGCAGCTTTTGGACAATATAGAAAATGTCAATCATAAGACTCTGCAATAAATAAAGGAAATCTTTTAGTGGAAAGCAAGAATTTATACTGAATATATATACTGTATGGATGTAATATTTTAGCGGGTGTAAGTTTGTGAAAACTATTATACAGCACAGTACTTACTTGTCCCCCAATGCGGCTTTTGGATGCATTCATGCAGTCCTCTACTATTGTGTATTCGATCCACGCAGAAATGCTTAGTTTTAAGACAGACGAAGTTAACTTTAGTTACAGTTTAAAATGAACAATAACAGGAACACCTTTTCTTTTTTGTTATATTTACTTAAAATAAATTCAAAAGATTTTTTTCGTCAGAAGAAAAACAGTCAGAGTTATTCAAATACCTTACTAAAATAAAATGTCCAAGTAAAGTGTTTTGATTTTTTTTTTATCGAATCTAAGACTACCATTTAGACACAATGACTAACAATTTATGCTCCCTAAGAACACACTGAGTTCCGATAAGTGACGCGATTCCTCCTCAATACCATAAACAACACTCATACGCAGCGTATGCCCCGCATTGATTCATGTCAAGTTTAGAGCAACATTCACCTTCGCATGGCCACCAAGCAGCTATTTAATTCAATTTTTTGTTTGAGTTTTTTAACCTTCCCTCCCACGCGTTGTCAACGATTTGGCTTAAAAAGTTGCAGTTGCTCCCCATTGGCATCTGCATTTTGTACGTGGTAGTTTTGTTAGTTGTTGATGTTGGTGGCATTGTGTTGTTGTATTTTGTGAAGCCAACTGTGCCCAAAATGAAATTTGACTTGTGCCAGCCGCTGAGGTGTGCCACAAGCCGTCGCCACTTGCCACTCGCTTGCTTGCTGGCTTTTCTAACAAATTTGCTTGCAAACGGGGAAAAAAGTTAAAAGTACGCAGCGCTAGGGGAACTATTAGCAAGTTGGTGTGCGAAAACTTTAAATAGATTTACGAGACTTTTTCTAAAAACATTTTGTACACTGACAAAATTACGAGCCACTTGTTGCCCAACAAAAAATAATAATCAACAGATCAATTGAATTGTAAACACAACAATTACATTAAAATGTACGGAAAATGTTGTAGAACTTCCAATTTTCGCTTTGTAGATAGTAAGAAATATACTAAAGAACACTTACAGATAGTAGAAGTTTGAAAATGGGGTCCCTCGGGAGCAGAAACGTAATATATATAGTATAGATATATATAGCTATTTAGTTTAGTATAGTATATATATTTACAGTCATTTGGATGCTGGATTTAAATGCTTATTGAACGATTTTAATACTCTTATTTGTAATATCAAACATACTACTTACTTGTATATACTATAATTCTATTATAGTTCTGAGTGTAATCCTAACTTATAACTCTCTCATGCTCTCTTTCTTTGAAGGCCCGCGCGCAACGATGTGCCCTCCATGTACATTGAGGAGGAGGAACTGAATGAACTGGAGGAGGGCGGTGGGCGGGCAGCTGAGATACGAGCCCGTGTTACGCCGGCCACCTCGCACCTTTGCGGTGGGGGAACAGGTGGCGTTGGATCCAGCGGTGGTGCCATCTTGGGTGTGGGCGCCGGCGTGGGACCGCATCATTATATCTCGGAGAGTTTCATACAGTATGCGCAGCCCAGTCTAAACGGTACTATTCCAAAATCCATATACAAAAAGCTGTAGTACACAAAGTTTTGTAACTAGCTAACTACTCATATATTTATATTTATATTTACATCGTTATTGCAAGCTGTAATTTGTAGTTCTGTTTTAAGTACGATCCTGATTTCTTTAAATTGCAACTTTGTAGCCATAACTATTCAGTTGATTTGCCTAATTGAATTGGTTTGCTGTAAATACATAAATTTACTTACTTTAGTCATGTGATGCATTCATGCACATAAATTGCCTGTAAATACACACGTACACATACACACACACATACACACACACAGACAGACACAGACAGACACACAGCAAATGCAAATATACACACACTATCTTCTCTCTGGAGCTGCTGTTTGTGTAGCGTTATGTTATGTAGATTAGTTTAATTTCTGTCATTTATGTAGAGAGTGCATGTTGTTTGAAAAGGAAATGAAATCAAATGAAATGAATTGAAGCGGATCAAATCGAAACGAAACGAAACGAACCGAAATGAAATGAATAAAATGTCAACGCATTTTAATGTGCAAATGCGTTTTTGTTGCCCTGACTACCAGTGGCTGACTTTTATTATTTACGATCATTTATTTCTATGATTTTGCAAAATTAATTTTAATAGTTTGCATGCGAATTATTTTTAGCAACGGCGAGTATGTGTGTCTCTGTACGTGTGTGTGCCAAGTGGGCGGCTGTGTGTTTGTGTGTGTGTGTGTCGACGAGGAGGCTGGCAGACCGACAGAGACACGATTTTGTTGCATTTTCGCGCATAAACAAACACTCGCACGTTTACATGGCCGGGCAGGCGGGTGTGTCTGTGTGTGTGTGTGACTCTTGTTATTATTGTTGCAACTATTTGGCGCATTGCGTCGAATGTCCATGCAGTGGTTTTTCATTAAACGCTGAAAACGTGCACTGCTCGTATGACTTTGGTGAGACATGTAGAATTGTCCGACAGCCCTTCCGCTACGATTCATTCGAACCAATATAGTATTAGGTTCCAGAGGAACTCCGGTTACATAAATAAAAGCAACAATTTTACATAGTTCAAACAAGATAAATTTGCTAGCAATTTTAAGGGCTTACAATATTTATTAGTGAATAATAAAGTAAATAATTATTCAATAATATTAGACTGCATTTAAATAACATAATACATAAAAATTATATAAAATATACCAATAGACCTTTGAACAGTTGCTAGGTTATGAAAAAGTTCGGTAGACCGAATGGAAACCACAGTTTTAGTTTTGATATTTCATTTTTCACACAATTACCACTCCATATTCGGACACAAACACACATGCACTTGACATACATAATAAACCAAAAGTGCCCGCAATGGACCGGCCACTTGAGTTTCCGTTAATGATGAGGTTAAACGCGTTCGCATTTAGCAATAAATTGGTTGCACATTTAACCATCAACAGCAACAACCATACACATACACTCACATATCACACACACACACATATATGTAGATGTACATGCTCATGCACACAAATCTGTATTTAAGTAACGAACTAATTGGCCAGTGGGCATTTTGTTTCGATTATATGCAAGTGTAGTGCTCTACTCGTATAAGTTTCTAATTAGCACAGCAAAATGTTAGAGTGCGTGAGTAGTTTTGATATTTTTCTAATTACATAACATTCGTATACATATATGCAATAAATAGTCTATAAATTGCGCATTTAAATGAATCCAGCTATCACTTCCTGTATCAAGCATACTCAGTGTGTGGCCGTAGCTCACTTTAGTACCAATATTTACTGCCAAGTATCATCATAGGCAACACGTTCTATTGAAGTACTATACATACCTAATATGTACTAGCAAGTATGCTTCCTTGTACTCGTATTAGTGAGCACTCTTAGCCCCTTTCCTCTCTCTCTCTCTCTCTTTATCTTAATCCTCCCTGTCACCTACTCTCTGTACTTCTCTCTCCGTGTATTTTTCTGCCTGGCGTGCTCTTGCTCTCTCTAGCTTGGTCTGTTAAACAATTAGCGTCGCCCCCGTTCCCTCTGTAGGTACATAGATCAACTGTACAACCAAATAACATAAAACTGTTGCTAAAATCCAATTCTTAATCCAACTTGAAGTTGTAAATACCTACCTCAGTATCTTCTAACATCCACTCCACCCCTTAAAACAAAAAGTAAATCAATGTAGTGCGCACACAGATTCCGGGCTTTAGATTCTTTCGGTACTAACAACATGTTGTTGTCTTGTTGTTGTTGTTCCTGCTCCTGCAACTGCAACTGCTCCCGCTCTACAATCTAGGCGAAGTGCTGCTACCTTTGCTTGTTACCCAATCGAACGGACATCGCTCCACAGCTACTGCGTTTGCGTCTGCGTCTTGCTCTACCTCTACCTCTACTGCTGCTACTGCCACTGCCACTGCCAGTGCTACTGCTGCCACTACGTCGAACACAGTCGAGGCGCTCCCGCAGCCAACAACAGCAGGAGCAACAACAAGTACGACTGGCTGTGTGAAGCTATGTGCAAATGCTGCTGCTGCTTGGCCGCCCAAATGTATGCAAAGTAAATTTTATATTGCAAAATCTGTGCGTCAGGCAGAAAGACAACAGCAGCAACTACAACTACAACTTCAGTTAAGGCAGTCAGTTCACTCAGTCTCCACGTCACAGACTCTGAACAGCCAGTGCAGTCATGTTTAAATTGACCATAATACGTTGGCGACGCATTTGGCATCCCCCTCCGGGTCCAGTTCCTGCTGCCACTCCCAACACCCCTCACCAAATCATATACACACCTTCTGTCAATTACAACATTCTACATGTGAAACCCCAATATCAGGAATAGTTTTAATATCAAAAAACATGAACAAACACGTTCGCACACACACACACAAATTTGCTTCGTTTCACATTTTAATTCGTCTCAGATGGGTTGCGCCCACATTATAGTTGACATGGTTGTAGTTGTTGCTTAACTCGTTACGTCCACATCTCATATAGTCCTCAACACTCACATACGTCCATTATTATTTCGTTTCTTCAGTTTCTGTCATTTTACCATTCTATTATACCTTTTGCTTTGTTGCTGCTTTTGTGTAAATGGCACACACACACACACACTGTAGCACACATACATATGTACTCGTACGATACAAGTATTTGTATGCAGAAAAAGCCACAAATTTCTTTTGATTTAGGGCATTTGGTAATTGTTGATGGGATTTTTGGTTGGCAAAAGCTTGACCGTAATTGTTGCAGCAGCATTGCGGCCTTTTGAGGCAAACCCAAGGACTTGGATACTGCTGCAGTATGTACGAGTATGTGTGCATTACAGACGAGGTGTAATCATAAAGTTTTTAAGAAAAACTTGCCTTTACATCTAACATATTGAATCTAAGTATTTCGAAATTTAAATAATCTAAAGAACAATACACTAAGGGAGAAACTGCTTTTCATTTAACATTTTTTGTTAACTTCATTGCCTACTCTTAAACATTCTTTTCTAAAAGTGTTATTTCTTATCCAACGCGATTATGCATTAGCTTTCTCAATCGATAGAACTGTTGCCAGAAAACGACTTAATCAGCACTAAGAAAGCCATACGGAAATGTTTGAATGTATTCGAAAAGAGGAGCTTTCTTATTGGCCAGAAGCTTGAGCTAGCACTATCGAATATTGACTTTGTAGAGGGGCTTGCAGAGGGAGCTATAACGGTTGCTGTAATTAAGTATTCCATTGAGTAACTGGCTTATTTATATTGAAATGCTAATTGTTTTGAAACAGGAAATTCTCAGGACTCTTCGATCAACATTCGCTTTGTTGTAGTTGTGTCTTAAGACTCGTACATTTGTGCCACATGTTCCCAGTCAAAGCAACAAAATTGCTGTTGAATCACATGCTTCAATGCCACTTGCTGTTGCTATTACTATGCCTATATATGTATCTGCGTACTATTGTTGTTGCTCAAGGAAAATTTATAGTAAACACCCAACACACACACGCAAATACAGAAACGCTTGAGCGCCTCTTCAAAATTGTTAGAACTTGAGATCGAAAATTAAAATACTTTACTTTCCTCTGCTGTGTTTCGTCTGTTTACCAACCTTGTGTTTAGCTTGCACTTCGGCCAGCAAATACTTTTTGGGCCAAACTATAACCTGACTGTGGCTTAATTGTGCAAAGAGTCTGCCCAAATATTTGCCAAATAATCGAAACAGGCTTCAAGTGTCGAAATTGCCGGAAAATTTAAGAAAATCTAATTGAACTTTATTAGCTCTTTAGAGCTCAGATCTCGGTACAATGACGATGGTGGCGCTGGCAAATCAAATGTAATTTTAGAGAAATCAAAATGTGAGTCGGACAACCAAAGCGTTGGCTGCAGCCGACCTGACAACAGCAAAAAGAGGCAACATGACAATGCCGTATGCTAAATATATAAAAAGGGATAAATGCTGCATGTACCGGCAGTGCAAGGGACTTTTCACAAACGACACAAAGCCGAATGGGGTCGGTCTTACAGGGTGTGAGTGTGTGTAGCAGTAGGTTTTTCCAAATGTTGTTTTGTCTCCGCTTTCCGCTATCTCTCTCTATGTCACTCTCTCTCTCTCTCTATGTCACTCTCTCTCTCTCTCTCTCTCTCTCTTTCTCTCTTGCTCATTGTGTGTGAATGTTGCAAAGCCTTTTGGACATTTTGCATAAATTTTGCAGCGAAATACTCACAAACAACAAACAAACATAGCACAGTTATATGCAAATATGTATGCATACAGTCACATACAACACCCACACGCACAAACACACACACACGCACACACACACACACACACTTAAATGCAACTACAAATTTGCCAAATATGCTGCGACTCCGCACTTCTCTCTTCGCTCTGTTTGTTTTGCAAGCTCCTGCAGACTTTGTTTTAACTTTGAATTGCATAAATTTTAATTATTTCGAAAGCACTAAATTAAAATACAAAAATAACCAAAAACTCATATACATATGTGCACACATACGCAGCCTCGAACACTCGACCCCCGCACATGCCAACATGTCGTCAAATGTAAACATTATTTAATGTTTTTGGGCAGATGTGTCGTATACGTGATATTATTTCAAATGTCAAACGCCCCGATCCGTGTGTGTTTTTCTCTACTTCTACATCAAGCAATGTTCCTACGCCCCTCTTTTAATTTACTGTTTAGCGCACATCGCATTACGCTCAAAAGTCAGCAAATAAGTTAAATTTGATTTTGTCAACGATTTAATTTTTGCTCGCCCTTAAATTGTCTGACATTTTTAATTTATGTACCGAGGGGTCCTTCACAACATGACTTCTTCTTTAGGGGACTGTGGGTGCTCATATTTAGGCACTCATTTTCTCCACTTAAGCTCATGTACTATATATGTTCGTGCATGGCCCAAAAAGCTCCTCGTCTTGCTTACAAGACACTAACAAGTGCCAAAGTCACACTGAAGTGTGCCTCGGCGAGCAAAGAAATTGCAGCTGTTGCGCCAACGAGTGCCGACAAGACAGACGACGAAAACTTTAGAAATTCTAGGAGCTTTGACATTTTAAGGGAATAGCTAAAAAAAAGTAGCTACCTGCCTATCTGAGTCATTCAGATATCAGATGTTATTTGCTTACCATATTTATGGTATATATGTATATCGATTTATTTCGATAGAATACTTCTGAAAATCAAGATTTTCAATGGCATTGTCTTATGTAGGCTACTACATAAGTAGATAAGGAATATCTCATTTTCAAAAATGGTTTAATTGGTCTGCGGTTTATACAAACTTTTATTAGATTTGTAGCGTCTTGAAACGCTATAGTCGAGTGACGTTTGCATTTGGGCTCGTACGAATATCTTTAACCCATTGCTTATTATCTTAAAACTTTCTGATTTAACGAGTTGGCATAAGTTTTACTTTGTCTCAATGTTGCTTTAATTCCCTTGTATATGCCATTTTTCCTTTATATTAATATAGGACGAAATAAACTTGTTCTTTTTGTTAACGTTCATAATCAAGCAATGCCTTTCATTCATTCGTAATCTGGCGTGTATATTTGTAACTGTCTCATGATAGTCATATTTTAAGAGAAGTCAGGTTACTCATTCGAGCTGGTTTTACGCAGAAATAACTTGCCATAAAGGAATTTTTGTACTTGTTAAAGGTATTGCCCGTGACTACACTATTCGAAGTTGTATGGAAAGTGCGCCTCTATTTCTATGTTAAGAGTTTTAAAGCTAAAGTTTAAATAAAATCTTCCGGTAGTTACTCTGAAGTCGGCATTTCACATTTTACGCTTAAATGTAGCCCACTTGAAAAATAAAATGCAGAGTCTACATTAATGCGCTGTCTCAAGATATACTCTACAAGTGAGCCACTATACGGGCACGTCTACACTGGCATACTACTCGTATGCATGTATGCATGAGCTGAGAAGCCGGAGATTTCTCCAGTAGCTGGCGCAGTCATTAGCCAACGTTTTTAATTGCATATACCCACGACTTGTGCCACGCCTCTCGCGCCCCTCGCGCCCACTGCATGCAAATCGACTTAAGGTGGCGCTGCTGTTCTGCCGCCTAGCTGGCAGGCAGTTTAATGCGCGTCTTTTATTTTTTTGTGCGCCTGCCCTACGTTTGGGTTTTTATGCAGCCACAGTTGCTCGTGTATGTGTGCATATGTGCGTGTATGTGTGCGTGTGCTTTCATACTTTTTGTATTTTTTCATGCTGCCATTCATTTTGCTCGACTTTTTGTCTTATTGTTGTAGTTGTTTGCCACTATTGTCCGTCCGTCTGTCTATCTGTCTGCTTGCTTGCTTGCTTAGCTTTGTTTGCCTGCCCTCGCGCATCTTTGGCGCGTCAAGAAGACGACGACGAGAATGTTGATGGCTGTGCAACATTCTGTGTGGCATACAATGTACGAGTATGTGAGGCATGTGTGCCTGCGCACTTTAGTGGCACTCGTCTAATTAGACAAAGTTAAGACTGAGCAACAGCCGGCTCTGTCAACTCATCTTGCATGGCTCAAGTCGGCGGCATATTAAATAAAGTCATTTATTGTGGCACGCACACAGAATTCTGCTGTCTTTAAAAAGAGCGCCCTTTAATGCTGCATGGCAGCTTAATAGGCGCAGTTACTTTGATGTCTGCCACTCGTTTGGGCGTCCAGGCCACAAAAAATGCCGCACAATTTATTTTGGCAACATTGTTGGTGCGGTCTATGCTGCGTCAAGGAATTCATCCAAGCAGACACACGCACACTCTTCAATGTCTATTGCGAAGGCGCTTCATTCATCTGTCTTGGCACTTCCGCAGCCCTAGCCACGCCCCCTCAACGCATCAACGCGTGCGCGCCAAGGCTGGCTACATTTTTCTGACGTTTGACATTTTTTAATGCTAGCAGACACGGCGTGAATGTAAAAGTAGAAGTGAAAAGAACCAGACTCATACACACACATAAATATAGGGAAAGATAGACAAAGAGAGAGAAAGAGAAAGGGAGAGAGAGAGAGAGAGAGAAAAGGAGACTTACATACTGACGCCATTTCCTTGGCGTTTTAGTTTGTGTCTTTACGACTCAAAGACGCCACACAAATGTGACATAAAAGGCGATAATAATAAAATATTACAGAGGGTGTTTGCTTCGGTGTGGGGGGGGGGGGGGGGAGTGGGGACTCTGCAAAATAACAAACTGCAAAACCGTAAACAACCAGCATGCGGCCTCAAACGCTAGATGGCGCTTAAGTTTCACTTCACAGCCGAAAATGAAATGAAATACGAGTAATATACGGCCACGCCCACACATTAAAGTCGCACACAATGAAACGAAATGCTGACATAAATGCGACTGAGCTGTGCGATAAAAATTAAGAAATTGTTGAATTATTTTATGTGAGAGTTAGATGTGTGGTGGAATGAATTTGCAGTGAACAAATATTTATATGTTATTATTGTTGTTGTTGTTGTTATTATTATTATTATTATTCGGTTTCCAGCTTTCTCTAGCATCTTATCAGCACACAAACACAATTTGTCACGCTTTTGATATTTGTATTTCCTTAATTTTTTATTTGCTGCCTAACATTATTTTTAGTTAACTGATATGGCGTTGTTTTGAAAATGCTGTAAATCTGATTGCTGTGTCTGTGTGCCTGTGTGTATTAATGTTTGCCTCTTGGCTAGCACAAACAAATTAAAAAACAAGCAATAACAGCAATAAAATATACAAAACTAATCGGTCAACACATGCCACTTTTCGTTTTCATATTTCTTCTAAACCAACATGAATATTCGCCAACCTACCAATACATATGCACACATATACACACACACCCAAAAATATACACATGCACTTCACCACACACACACCCTCCCCCTCTTGCGCATTGTTCTTGATTTTGTTTTATGCCAACCAACCAAAGTGTATATTGCAGACCCGGATCTGATATTGCCGCGCGGCGAATTGGAATTTACGACCCTGGATCCAGCGCTGAAGTAATTGTAAAAAGTAATATGTAATACATAGCATAATATACAATACATAACACACAATGGTGCAGCGTCCGGAAAGCTGGCGCCGAGTTATAACTCACAGGCATTTCATTTTACATAGCTGTAAATTTTTTAGCATAATTTTAAATGTTTATTTAAAAAAAAAAAAAGGGAAAAAATAAATAAAAAAGTGACTATTATTAAGCATGTATTAGCTACAGCGACAAATATTACATTGTATGTAATTATTAAGCGTCATCGTGTTAGCTTTCATTGTGCGAAATCAAAAGTATGTGAAAAGACCGATCGCCATTCAGTTGCGCTGATAAGTATGCAACATTTCTTGGCGGCCCTATCGACTGCTTTATAAATACGCTACAAACTTGTAACTGAAATCAAAACCACGAGCACACACAACAATTGTAAATAACATTATACACCATACATACATAATATACATATATACATTTTACGGCGAACACATTTAAATCAAACTGTTACACAAACTACCGCATCTTTTGTACATAGATGTCCAACTCTACGTAAAAACGGGCAAACATTAATCAAACTGCATTTAAATATATGATATGAAATATTTAATATTGTTGGCGGAACTGATAAAGTCAAAGCCGTTTTTGAAGTGGCTAGGACTTATGAAAAGTCCCGTGTATTAATAGTGTAATTAGACTCATAGAGCACAGAAAGCGATCAAATGTAAAACGAAGAGAGGAAACCAGAAATCAAAAGTCATCAGAACATAAAAATTAGGATAAAATATACATTGAATAGCAAGAATGTGGCATTAAGTAGCATAAAAAAGAGCAATAATTTGGTAAATCGAATACGATCAGTTGCAAGTATATAAGGTATGATGAAAAAGCCTAAACCATGGTCTTGTTATTATTTGTAAGATCACTTTCTTGAGAGAATTTCTTCTAAGACACTCTCTTAATTACTTAACAATTTTCTTAAAAATTGCACTTTGAACGCGAATATAGCAATTGGAATTCCAAGAGCTTTGGAACGAAAGATCAGTTTTTTAGTAAGATTTTTGTAATTCTCGCGTCAATAGTTATTGATGCATCGATGCGTTCATCTACCGACATTGCAACTGCTCAGATTCGTTTCTACCAGGAGTTGCCTAGATGTATGTATGTATTTTTAAAACTCATTGAATGCCGTTTAGGAATTTATGTCAGCAAAAGGAGCTATAACCCATTTAACTGGTTCAGCAGCAGATTCAAGATTTTTCCCAGTTCTCAATTTTCAATTATGCCATTTTAAATGTTTACAATACACTGCCAAGCCAAAATGAATTGCTGCATAATCAGCTGGTATTTGGCCAAAACGTCGGATTACGAGTGGGCGTGCTATACATAAGCTGCTGCTATAACTATTTATACCAATTCATGAATATTATATTACCATAACAAAGCAGCCATAGCAGTCACATGCCGAACTGACGAAAAAAGGCAAAGAGAACAGAGGTTCGAGTGCATAATGAATAAACGTTAAATAAATTACAAAGTCGAAAGGCCAAAGCCACCAACAGCAGTACTAACGACTAACTACATGCAATACAACAGCAAATAACAAAGACAAAGAAGTAAGACAACAACAACTACAACAACTACAACAACAACAACAACAACCATAACAATAAAACCAAATTCATTGTAAATGTTATAAATAACTAAAGTAACCGAGCAAAAATACATAATAATAATATGGCATACCCAATACGAATACACTCAAATAAGTCTCAAGTAATTCGAATTCTTTTTTCAAATACGAGTATACAAAAACAAAACGACAGTTTAGCAAAATATACAACGCGAACAACACAACGGAGGAAATGGAAAGTAGGAACGGAAAAAATAATGCCTATATAAATAAAGTAAATGGAAATTGGGAGAGGTTGAGTGAGCATCTCCCTCTTTCACTTTCTGTCACTCTCACTCACTTTGTCTGACCTAAGAAATACAAAAGTAAAAACAAAAAACCAAATCAAATTGCAAAAACAAACTGATTGTTTTTAAGTGAGGTTAAGCTAACGAATAAAAATAATAATACTTATATAATGAAATTAATTTAAACTACACAGTAAAACATTTAAATTGTATTACAATTAAGTCGCAACTACTGAGTGTGTTAAAAGTAATGAATGAATACTGAATAAATAAACTAAATTAAAACAAAATCTAGTTTTTACAAACTTTTTATTTTTCAACAAATAAATTAAAATGAAATTTATTTACAATTTCTAGGACAGTTGACACCCTATAGAAAATGCGCTTATAATGGAGGTTTTTGAAGCTTCAGTTTGAAATTGTCGTTCATAATATGATTTTAATATTTAATTAGTGCATTAAATGTAAAAAATAATTGAAAACTTCATAGGGACTGGAAATAATTGCTATTCTTTATGTTCTTGACATTTTGTCTTTACTTCAAAAAGCTATTCTTCATATTAGATGGAAATATGTCTCTACAGGCTTGAATAGTTTACAGGTATTTTGTTCGAAGGTTCATTTTCATGGAAATATATCGATTATAATCATTAATATTTGCGAGGCACGACTAAATGATGGCTTTAAATCTGTAAAGTGTGCGCCAGCAACTTTGACTCGAGGCTAAGTGTTATTAATCAAAAACAAATTTTGTTGGAGTTTGCAGACAAATTGCCGATGCTGACGTCGTCGCTGCATTGGCTGCGACAGCAGTCTGAAAATGTAGGACTGATTGCCACTTGAGGCGGGTAATCGAAACATTGGAAAGGCGGCCACAGCTTCCACTCAAGCAGGCAGGCAGACAAACAACACAGCCCCTTATAAACCGTAGCAAGCCCCATCGCAGCCAAGACAAGCCAGCCTTCATTAATTTGAACAAAAGGCAGGCGTCAAATCAGCCAGCAACTTGGGCGTTCGAGCCCTTGAGCAGAACACGTTCATACGCCCGCCGCTAAAATTGAGGCTGCTCTTCAGTTGGTGGGTACTGAAGGCCACTGGCTGTGCGGAACTTTGGCTGGTCTGGGGCTGCATTAGAGATTAAAACACTTAAGCGAAAATTACTTGCGCCGATAATATGTTTGGGGGGCAGAAACTGTGCAGAAAACTTTGCAATGGAGGCTCCTGCACATTTTCTTCACTAAAACTTCTCCCCAGCTCTGTCTCCGTCTTATTATTTCCAGCTTGTGCGTACGGATTTCTTTCCTTTTTCGCTTTGAACTTACCTTCGTTCATCGTCTAATTTGTAGTTGCTCCATTGTTGTTGTTGTCAATTTTTATAGCATTTTCATTTGGCTGGGAGCTGCGAGCAAAGCCAATGCAAGTAGCACACAAAAGCTTGCAACAACAACAAAAAGACAAGCACCAATAACAACAGAATGTAATATGTATAAGCGACTTTTGCGGTTTTCTTCGCAATTGCAAAAAGTTCATTTTAGTTTTCTCCATTTTTATTTTATTTTGTTTTTTTCTTGCTGTCTTCAATTTTGCTGGCTGCCTTTGTTAACTGAGCGCACGTAGCTGTTTCAGCAAAGCAGAGCTAAAAAGTAAAGCCACATAAATCCACAGATTTGCACTTAAGTGCGTAAATCGAAATGGCGTCTGGGGTGCAAGTTCTGAGTCAGTCAGTCAGTCAGTCAGTCAGTTGGTCTGGTCTGTTGGTCAGCAGCCATTTTGGAGCAGTCGTTTGGCAGAGCGTTTGGCGTTCATAATGTCCGGCGAGTGTCGTCAGAGCACTTTATGCCAGCCCTCTGTACTGGAATTCAATTAAAGCATGCCTGATTCTGGGCCAGCACATAAACATAACTAAGAGCGGTCATAACAGCAAATATTGAGTGCAGCAATTATTGCAATCGACCACTTGCCTTGGCATTAGCCCAACTCCCCATTCCGCTGTAGATGACAAGCGTTATCTCTGCCTCAGCTCCCGCTCAGCCGCTTGACAAAGACATGGCCTGACATTCATGGCAGCCATAACAATCACATCAATGCCGTGTGGACTCTGTGAACAGAGCATCGTGTGCTCAAATTTTACAAGCCACAACGTTGCCGGCACAGCGGCACGAATACCAAGCATGCTGTAAAAATATACATTTTATTTTTCGACTTTCTCCACTTTTTTTCTGGGCACGCCTGATGCTGTTATAATGATACGTATAGAGATGTCTGAATGCCAGCCTGCACGCCTTAGTGCGGCCTGCTATGGGAGCAATCAGTTCGCAAAGCTCCGATGGCGGGCTTGCAAATCTATGCCAAGGACAAATGTTTTGTTAACTGAAATGAAAAGCGAACCAAAAAGTTTGGCAGCATAGCGCACACACAACGAAACACAACTTCAAATTAGATATTTTCAACATTTATTTCGAGCAGCTGGCTTTTGTTGCATGCCGTGGCTGCATTTTAGATTTATAAACTATAGATGTACATAGCTAACTACACAATTTCATAAAATTTCTACACGATTATTATAACTCTTTAAATCGTTATGGCTGACCATCAAATGCGACCGATGAGCATATATTTGCTTTTTATGTTTTGTTAAAGCGTTTTTGTTGGTTTCCCTTTTGTTTATTATTTTTTGTTAATATTTGTTTGTTTTCCTTTTCATTTCTGCTTCTGGTGTGGTGTCTTACAATTGTAAAATCTGCTCATTTTTATGCGCAATGCAATTATTCTCCATTTACAATGCACTCAACGCGACGCGACGCGGCGCGGCGGCGCTGTCAGAAATAAAATGGCGCTATGGCGCTGGTGTGGCAGGGACGGCAGGATGACGGGGAGGTGGAGACAGGGAGCCTGAATGGAACGCAGACAAGTAAATAAAATTGTAAATGAAATACAGAAAATACAAAAATGTTGAAATGCCAAAGAAATGCACGGTACATATTTTACATTTATTCATTTCTCTGGCAGCGCGTTACGCTGCGCCTTCATTTCAAACTGAATGACGAGGGGCAGGGTGGCAGCGAGTGTGCGTGTCCTTATGCCTGTCGCCTAGCCTCTGGTAAGCCGAGCGTTAATAACAACGCTTATCTGTGGCATTAGCAGCGTGCACAACAGCAACGAGGATGATGAGGATGATGACGATGATGATGACGACAAAATATGATAATGAAAAACTGAAATAAAAGCGCAGCAGCAACGCCAACAGACAAACAACAAAACAACTGCTCGAGGCAAGAGGAGCTACATAATTTAACTCGCTCTTGGCGTTTTTTTTTTTTTTTTTGTTTCGGTTGGTGTTGTTGCTGTTGATATTACTGTTGTTGGCGTGACAGTTTCAACTGACAGGCGCTTCATGCAGCACAGCAGCATCATCCATTATCAGCAGTTGGCCATCTTAAAGTGCACAGAAAACAACAACAAAAAGCAACAAGAGAGAAACAAAGAGATAGAAGGGGAGGCCAAGCGAAAGCCGCATTGTTTTAATACAGTGCGTATGAGCAATGTGATTGTGTATGTGTGTGTGTGCCTGAGTGCAGCCAATGAATGGCTGTCAAACCACAAGCGACCCTCAACTTAACTCAACTAACCCGACTCGACCCACTCATTCATTAGTTACTCTCGGCCTTAGTGCCCTGTTGTTCTTGCGGTTGGTGTTGTTGCTTATGCGCCTCACATGCACTGCCAGCCGCCGAGGATTCCTTAACCGTAAATGTCACATAGTAACGTTTATTGCTGTCCAACTTTTCCGCTGGCAGTGAAATTAGTTGTTTACTCTTGCCATGCGACAGCTCGAGGGCAACTTTGTGGTTGCAGCCACCACTGCGTGCACCGCCGACCTTGCCGCTGGTCGCACGTGCCTGTCCCGCACCGCCACTCCCACTGGTAAGAATTTTTGGCAGATAGAAACTGCTCACACTGCCGCTTTTCTTGTAGGGTCCGAAGCCAAATTTCGGCATCGTGTGGTGATTCATCATGGGAACTGCAAAAAGAGGTGAGAAAATTAAATGGGAGGAGAATCTTGGTCTCTCAATTGTACACCTCGAGAAAAAATTAAAGTCAAACACACCTGGAGATAGAGTAGTACTTATTATAGGCAGAAATGGATTGTAAGACTACTCCGGATGCAAGCACAAATTAATACAGTTTTCTGAGTCAAAGAGTATTCTTTAAGCGTAGACTGGGACCAAAAGGACTACAACAAGCTGGATATCAAATGTATAAGCTATCCCTGTTGGCTTGCAAGTTTCGGGTAGCACGATATTTTTCGATGAGTGTACTTGTATTGCAGTAGATTAATGACAACTTGCTGTCCCTGTAATTAACTGACGACACTTCCTGCAGCAGCTGACACACGCATCACAAGCGTAGCGCTTAGCCACTCAAATGAATTGCAGCTGTCGTTCTCGTGGGTTGCGTTACATTTCGGATCACGCACTCACGGGAGACATTCATTAGTTTGTCGTCACGCATATGGCATGGATAGGGGACGGGGCGACGACACTTTGTGAAATTGTAAAATTGCAATGATGTTGAAAAACTAATAAGAAAATGGCTTTGGTAAGAGCTATCGTCATGGCTTTATTTCTTGTTGCATGCTGTCCACTCAAAACCCATTTGGCAGGATTAAGCGTATTTTCAAGCAGGATTAGCGTTGACTTTGTTGCCATCCGCCAGCCGCGTGCTTCGAGCCTTGTGCTCCTTGTTGGGCACAATATTAAGTAAGCATAAACAAGAAAGGCAACAAGCTAGCAAGAGGCAGACGAGGCGTGGCTGAGGGCTGAGGGGCTGACGGGCGGAAAGTGGAAATGGAACAGGGGCAGCACAAATGAATGCGTTTTTAATTTGGCATAAGCTGGAGCCGCGGCTCTTTTGACCGAAGGCTGCCGTCCGGGCGTAGGACAAGTGCGAAAAAGGGCTATAGAAAAATGTAATAAAAGTTGAAAGGCTGGCGGTGAAATAAAGAGAGCAAGAAAATATTTTTAATTCGCTTGGCGCTGAATAAACTCGTCGTAATTAGGATTTATTTTTATGCTGTCGGCGGATTTGGAGCCCACGCGCCATATAGCTTAGGCCATCTTCAAAAGCGCCAGCAAGCAGGATGAGGGCGGGAGCCGTCTAGTTGACCCAGTGCGGCCCCAAAAGGCAACAGAGAAAGTGTTTCAACTTGTGACGAAGCGATTTGAATGCTTGCCACCACTTTTCACGCCATTCTCCGCTTCCCGCTCTATGAGCACGCCTTAAAGGCACGGCGATTAAACTCAACTATGAACTTACTGTAGGCGGCACAAGGAATTCCCGTGTAGGCATGTGCGGCATGTAGGCAGCGATGCGTCTTCGTCGTGCACTGCAGCGCCTTCTCATAGGCATTGTAATCGGGGCTCAGTCGTCGCTCCGCCTGTAAGTATGCAAATGGGTGAGTACATCTGTGTTTATGTGTGCGTGTGCGTGTGTATGTGTGTGTGTTTTGTGTGCTGGTAAGGCAAACAAATGTGGACTTAGTTCAAGAGGAAAGGCTTGGGGTTGAGTAGTGCTTATAGAAATGGATGCAACAACAAAGGCTCCGCTTCCACGACTATTAGAGGCGCTTTAATAAGCAGCGGCTTTTTGAACCTTTGTTCAGGCAACCAATTGGAACGAGTTTCACATTTCTTACGATTTACCCATTCAACAATATTCCTCTTAAATGCCTGCTATTTTAAATCTTTAAAAAAGATGTAATTAGTTTAAGCTTGACATTGATTATTTTAAGAAAAAATAAAGGCTTGTTTTAATCTCTTGTAATTAGTTTATACTTGACATTGATTATTATAAGAAACTATAAAGACTTGTCTTAATTTCTCAATTCTTACGATTTACCCATTCAACAATTATGTAATTAGTTTATACTTGACATTTATTATTATAAGAAACTATAAAGACTTGTCTTACTCTTTTAACTAATTAATTAATTTTTACTTGTTAGCCTCATAAAGGTAGCATGCTTGAATCATCCTTTCGTCCTTAGCATAATCTCTCTAATCAAAAAGCATAACCTAAAAGGCCGCTCTTTTCATTTAAACTATCTGTGGTTTCTGCTAAAAACACATTTTTAATCTAAATAATACAATAGCAAGAGTTAATATATTTTACCTATTTCCATATATGCACTAAGACCCCAATTCGCTTAAAGCTTGGACTTACCTCCTCGTATACTTCATTGATGTTTTGGAAATTGTAGGTGCCCGGCTTCTGTAGGCCCTTTAGCGTCTCATACAGAAAGAGCTCGAAGTTCTTGAACGTATACTCGCTGAAGTTGTAGCGTCGCAACCGCGTTCCCGTCTCGCCCCCCAGGAGCACACAAGACTTGTGGTAGTCGTCCACTGCACGCTTCACCAGCACCGCCTCGTTCAGCTTATTGGAGCGAATTTGCAGCGACTTCAGTTCCAGCAAATGCTGGAAGATTTTGCGTTCCATATAATATCTGCAAAGATATGGGCAGCAGAGGACATGAATATTTCCCTTCAAAGGAGGGCCAAGTCTAATACACTAGGCAGTGTGCCAAACAAAAGGCAGCCAAGCGAAGTTCTCGCTGGCTGCCTTGGCAGTTGCACATGTTTGTGCTTCGGCTTACAGTTTTAGAAGCAACCTTAGGAGCAGTAGTCCTCGCTCTCCTCCAGCACCTACCGATGGTCGGCATAAGCCCCGTCACATTTCCACGCACACAGATGAAAATGTGATGTTCGCAAATATACGTAAATTGTCATTTTGATATTTCGCGGACAAACAAAAGCCCCGCCCGCTGTGTCTTCTGACAAGGCGCAGGATCTGCAACAATGTGGGCACCAAAGCTCACCCTCCCATTCGCTCTCGCCATCAGCGTCGTCAGCAGGCCAAACAAAGCGCACAATGGGAACGCAATAAAAGACATCATGTTATTAAAATTTAAAAATATTAAAGTGCGTGTCCGCAAAAAATTCTATTAAAAATTGAGGAAGAACAGAAGACGCGAGGTGGAAAATTAAAGACATCCCTGCCGTAAAATGTTATTAGATATTTCATTAAACATTAGTCCAAAATGAAAACAACGAGCTGCTGGTAAAACTTTAATGCTTTAAATCGCAGAGCCAAATTGAAATTTTACTCCTGCTGTTGCCGGGACCGACAAGTTTTACAAATCAACTGAGGCAGCCAACGAGGCAGCCCCTGCCGCGCCCTTTGCTGCTAAGCCAAATGAATCTGGCCAAAAACTGAGAAAATTTGTCGAGTGGTGCACTCGAGAAAAAATGCAGAGCAGTGCTCTCAAACTGTTTAGGCAATGAGCAACGGCAAAGGCGGAGGCAGTGGCTTTGGTAGAGCCTCTGAATGCAGTCAACGACTATGGCATTGAATTTAACGCTTGACACACGGGGCTTACTTCCACTGCAGTGATGTCAAAATGGGCTAGATTAAAATGACAAATAAGCTAAATTATGATGTGGTTAGTTTAAATTGCGGTTTAAGCGATCAAGAAAGTACATTACACACATGAGGAATTTATTCTTCATTTTATTAAAATACCCCTTGTGTTCACTATTTTTTGTACTTTTTGTCAGTTGTTAATCTTTAAAGTCACCCACTAAGATTATAAAGTGAAAAAAAGCAGTTCTGCTTTATGGACTTACAAGATAACCCTAACCAATTTTATTTATTAACAAATCTGTTCCGACCCATTTAATCTTGGTTAAAGTTGCAAAAATAAAATCAGTTGTGCTTAACAAGTAACCGGCTCCCCTAAGATTTTTGCACATATTATAAACTGCTATGTAAGAAATAGTAGATAGGTTCTATCCACACGGCTTTTTTTGAAGGCTTACTGAACTTGAACTGAAATCAAAAATAACTGTCTTACCAGAACTACTTCTAAGACACAATCTGTTCAAGTGTAATTTAGAAGGTTAAGGTTTCAAAATGGCTACAGATATTCCGCTTACTATTATGTATTTTGTATTATACTCGTACAAGTATATCCCTTCGTAGGTCTATGATGCATATATGCAACATACCGCTTAAACTTAGTTATTTTACAATAATGTAAAAATGAAACACATACTATATATACACAAAATCACAAATTATCAAAATATCAAAAAACACGTATAATCAGGCAAAATGTCATAGGGATATGTCGAAGATATATTGTTCTATTTGGTTATTAAAATAACACCAACTGAAATGTAGCTAATATCAACAATAAAAAAGTTTAATTAGGGAGATTATTTATTAGACTTATCTGAATATGTTAATTATATTCTGAGATAACTGATATAAATATTAATATTAAAATTAAAATTACCCATGTCAACCAACTAGTCCTAATCGCGGCGCGCACATGAATTTATGGTTAAAAATTTTAGTTTGGAAAAGAGAACGAACAGTAAAGTGAATTGGAGTCAGCAAACAAGCTTAGGAGGTGGAAAGTTGTTAGGTGAACAGGCCGAGCAGGAGCAACAAGCATTTGGACCCCGTCCGTCATACCATTCGTGCCGCTAGCACGAGTGGCACTGTAAAAGTAAAAACTGTGTAACAAATGGCAATAAAAGTAGCGTGAAAATCCGAAGATCCAAAGGCCGGCGATTTGCATGCCGCTGTGTTTTAATTTCGAGCAGCTGCAAAGACCACAAGCGCATTTGTTCAGCAATGGCGGACAGAGCCGGATACAGCAGCAACCTCGCGACTGTCAACAGACGCCGCCTCAGCTACTTGGGCAATCGGTCTTCCGCTTGTTTTGCTGTCGTCGTCGTCGTCCGTGCCCATGCCAGTGGCAGTGCCTGCGCCTGTGCTTCTGCCCTTCCCGTCCCGTCCTGTTGTTTGCCGCAGCGCTTTTCAATTTTACGCCTCGCTTTTGTCGCACTTCAGTCAGTCGCGCTTCAATTCCTTGCACGATTCTCCTTTTACAAAACTATTTGTGAGCCGCACTTTTTGCCGCTTCGCCCATTCCAACGTTTTGCGCATTTTGCTGCGGCTGTGCAAATACTTTTTGCAACACTGTCCTTGGCACATTTCGCCGCGTTGTTGTTTCTGTTGTTGCTGCCGCTTCTACTGGTGCTGGTGCTGGTGCTGGTGCTGCTGCTGCTGCTGATTTCCGTTTCCGTTTTACGTTCGCTTAGTACAACTTTCATTTCATTTTCTTGTCAGCGTTGATTTTTTGTGCTACATTTTTTAACATTTCGTTGCGTCGTCTCCTCTGCTCCACCGACCCCCCGCTGCATCCTGTTTGTGACACAAATGTGACAAGCAAAAAGTGTGCGCTGCGCCAAAGTGGATGAAGTGGAAATGCGGCCGCTGGGCCAACGGCGTAGGCGGCATCGTCGACGACGTCCACAGCGGCGCTCCTGACAACGACAGTGACAACGAAATGCAAAGAAATTAAGCGCTGCACAACTTGCGACAACAAATTTATGCCCGTCGGCAGTTCGTACTGCACAAATAATACAAAAGCAAAGAATTTATTTAAGCACGGGGGAACGACTCGCTCGACGTGGGGGCATGGGGAGCGGATAAGGCAGGTAAGCTGATGCGCTTTAAAATGGCCGCAAGTGAAATTTGCAAATGGATTCGCCGACTTGCTTTTGTGGTCGCCAATGATGCCGCTATCGAACGATTTTGAATAGTCTTCAACCGATTTTTCAGTTAGCCCACTCTCTTCTCTTTACATTTTATTTGTATCCCTTTGATTCATTTTTATTTCGAGCAAGTTTCGCACGCCAGCCCAAAAGTTTCAATAACAGCTTTTGAAGTTGAAGTATTCTAAGAGTTTTTCTGCTCATCAAACACTTTTCAAGGCATGGATTCGAGCATGAAAACAAAACGAACTATCGACAATGCTTAAAGTTAATTCAACTGGTAACCTCAAAAAAAGGCAGAAAAATGTGTTGTGAATAGATCATTTTAAAAAAAAAACGACTAAATAATTTCAGCTCTTTAATATAACTATTTTTTTTAGCAGCGTAAATTTCTCTTAAAATGGCAATTTGTAACTGAGAGTTTTTAAAAATCACAAATCTAGAAGAGAATGTATTTATATTGTAAGAAAATATGCTATTAAATTTTTACTACAACTAACAGTAGTTTTAAATCAGAATATAAGTATTCCCTTGAGACCAAGAAGATCATAAGTGGCTGTGCTATGCTGCTTCACCAAGAATGTAAAATGTCGAAAAGCAGCAAAGCCTAATCATGCAACATTTCACACTTTTAACTCATCTTCTTTAAGAATGGTGTCTCGAATTCGTTATACCGAACGAACAAGCTCCTGACTTTTATTGTGGAGGCAGTCCTATAAATCCCTAGCATTTCTCACCTCTAGCCTGCTATTGGTCAGTAACGGAATAGATGCCCCCATTTGTTTCTTTAATAGTATGTGTCTGTAGAAAATGGCAATGTTCTAGTTTTAAAGTTCACTTTCAACTGAAAGTTTCACAAATTTGTTTTTCTGTCAAGCATCATGTTCTATTGCAATTGGCCTATTGTTGCAAATCGATCGATTTACTAGACTTGCAGAGATCTTTTTGCAATTTAACCTCCTTTGTTATGCCCCTCAACTTTTCTGTGGAATACATAATTCATAAAAAAAAAATATCAAAGCATAGTTTTAAATGTATGTTCTATATCCTTAATATCATTCATTATCGGAATTAAACAAAGTAGTTAACACTTTCGAAGGAAAGAAATATAGTAAAAGCTATTTCACATCCGCTTAATATATAGTTAATCTAATGCTAGTGTAATTTATTGCCCCTCTGTTAAATAAATTCCCCTAATAGACTCACGCATAGCGATCGCCGGTAAATTATGTAACAGGCTGAGAAGTGCGTTATGGGAGAGAAAAAAGGCAAACTTGCTCCCAACGCTAAAACGAAATCCAAATATTTAACAATGTCAATTACGTGCGCACATTATAAATCCCAAATCTCACCTGTGCTGCCAAGGCACGCACACTTAAATACACACATACACTCACACCCGCAAACTGTGCCACATGTAGCGGCAGCTTCGCTCGGTGGCAAGTTATTTGTTTAATTTATGCGTCAGATAAAATTTTAATCTCTTCTGAGCCAAAACGAAAAACAAAATAAAGTTACCAACACACTGCACAAAGCGCAAAATATTGGGGAAAAAATAAATAAAAATAAAAAACAGGCGGTTGCTAAATAAAAATCTATATTTACACACACTTTTTTTATGGCGAGTGTGTATTCTACAGGGGGCTCTAGATTTGCTACTTCCTTTTTATTTCCTGCTTTACATATTCCTTGCTATTTTCCAGATTTTGATGCCGCTGTTACGAAATTGTGTGTATTTTTTAATAATTACATAATTGACTTGGCAGCTTGTTTAGAAAGACCTCCCATGTATTGCGTATACGACGTGTATTTGCTGTGGACAGAACTTTGCTTCCAACTTTTTTAAGAGCGCGCGCGTCCCTCTACAAAGCAGATGAGCTGGCAATGAATTTCTGGGAAAAAAAGTTTTCGTAGCACAAATATTTTCATTTCTCAAGTGGAAAAATTATTTATGAAAAGCCAACCAGGCAAACGAAGAGACAGACCGGACTGACAGATACACGGACGAATGGACAGTTGGTCGGATAATGGCTCAGTGCATGTAAATGTATTCATGACCAAAAGTGGAAGCATCGCCGACGTTTCGCTACAAGAGATTAACAAAATTAATAAATGTCAACTTGTGGGCCGGATTGCGCTTGTTGTTTAATTAAAATTTGTGCGCGTCTTATGCAAATAAATACAATTGAATTTCAGTTGAACTTTGAGCCGAAACTTAAGCCAAAAAGGCTCAATTTGCAAATGTAGAAATTGATTACGTGAATACATATAAATTAATTAAAATGTGTAATGTAATACCCAGGCAGGAATTGTGCTCCATTTCAACTGAAAAGCGGCAATCAAATACCATTTTGACAGGACCCGCAATAAAACACAATACCTCACCTTCAGTCCAATCCAGGAGGTAATGTTCCAATGTAGCGCATTAAAGTGAAAAAAAGAGCACTGAAAACAATCTCGCTTTGGCCTTGTTGCGTCTTAAAACGGTCTCAATTTATCCGGCACACTAATCTGCGCTAATTCCACTTACAATTAGCATTAGTGGAATGTAAACAGCCCATGCCGACGACGGGGATGATGACGACGTCATCATTGCCTTCAAACGAAGCTAATTTTCATATTTGGAGCAAGTTTACATAAACAAAATAGAGAAAGATGGGCCGCTAGGCATGGAAGGGGGAACGGGGCGGTGTAGTTAATTAAAATGCCGCAGCCGTGCAACTCTTTGCCGGAAATGAGCGCTTAAAACGGCTAATGACAAAACCAGTAAGCGCGCAACCAGCGCCCGTAAACTACAGATTTGTTTTCGTTCCGCTCCAGATCATTACAAGTCAGAGCAAGGTGGAGAGGCTACCTGACCTGTAGTCGCATCAATGGCAAAGACGACCCAGAGGCTGGCATAAATGATCGCATAGTTCATGCTCAAGTACATGAAAATGAACATTAATGCCGCGTTTATTGCCTTTAAACGCATTATAATAACCTTAAAGCTCACATTTTTATGGCGAACGGAAGCTGGTAAATTTATTTGCTTGCCACAACAACGACAACATCGCCTGCAACAATGGACCATCCGCATTTGGCCAGCGAGGCTACGTTAAAAAATGAAAAAATGTAGCCGAGGCTATTAAATCCGCGACTAAATTAACTTCGAGGCGGCTGCGCAGGGCAGGCTGTAAGACGCAAGTGGCCGACTTTGATTACATTAAACGGTAGGAGGGGCTGGGGCGGGGGCTGGAGGCAGTGCCAGTGTCAGTGTCAGTGGCTTCCCACGGTTCGCACGTGATATAATGCGACTGCCAGATGGATGCCAGGCGCGATGACTGGTCAGTGGGACAACATTCAAGTTGATTAAAATCAAGCATCAAGTAAATAAATCTGCCGCCCAAAAAAGCGTCCAGCACTCACTTAGCGTTTCTTACTTGCCACTCACACCTTGTGATTAATTTAAATGCATGCATTTAATATGAACTCTCGGCGCTAATCTTGAAAACTCGACCGGCCCCACATAAATTTCATCAAATCGTCATTTTGTTTGTGCAATAAAATATTGTCTCTTTCAATATATACATACGAACAGTCAGACGCAAATGTGTGGAATGACCAAGCAAATAGGAATTCGAAGACTCTAAGAAGAATCGTAGCATTCTTGCAGCTGACAGGACTAGCTATGGACATAAACTAGATCGCAGTGCGTACAGATCAATCCAATTATACTACAAATCTATATTCAATCAGATTTCAAACAGGTAGAATATTTGAGGTATTCATATTATTTATAGTTCTTATATTATTTTCTGCCAATAATCATCCGCGGATGTTTCGCGTTTTGCGAGTATGCTATTGATCCCCAAGATTTAAGAAGAATTAGAAGCAAATAACTTACCTTCGAATATTCCGCTGTATGGAACGCGTCACAGCGGCCATGTCGCAAGCTCCCTTGTCGCCGGGCTTGCGGTTCTCCAGACGGCTGCTGCAGGAGCGTCCATCTAGAGTGGCATAAATGGGTCGTCTCGGCATGGCCGTGTAGATGTTGCGTGGCGTCGGTATTTTGGTGCGCTCCGCACGTGGACTTGGCTCGAATCCCGAGTCGTGATCCTTGGCAGTGCTGGCCACTGTGTTGCTAATATTGGAATTTCGTGCATCCTGTGCATTTTTCCAATTGTTGCGCGTTTTTGTGCCGCTGCGCACGCGCTTTTTGAGTCTACGCTTGCGCCCATTGCCCAGCTCATGGAAACCAGCGACTGCATTGACATCGGGATCAACATTATCGTTGACATTGCTTACACCCTGACGATTACCGCTGCTTAGGAAACGACGTAATGCACTATCATGTTCCGGATCAATATTATCCACATCATCGTTATCATCATAGTCGTCTTCGTAGTGTTCGTAATCATAATCAGGCTTATTTGTGTCCGTTCCAGAGGGCAGCTTGGACGCTGTGGAGCCGTCCTGCACAATTTGAAAGACTTTGGATTGGCTACTGCTGTAGGCGACGTCTGGTGCGAGCTGTGATTCATTCAATTCACCCATGGAATCATCGCTCTTCAGCACTTGGAAGCTTGATTTTCGTTCGGGCTCATCGCCAGCAGAAGTGGCTGCGACAGCGGGGCCTAAAATTGGCTCATCATCAGCCGAATCGGATGGCAGCAGAGTGAATGAGCGCCTTGATTCCTGTTCACGTTGTGGTTGTTGTTGTTGCTGCTTCAGTGCGGTTGGCGGCTTCTGCTGCGCGGTTTTTGGCTCAGCTTGTGGTTTGGTTGGAGTTTCATTTTTGGGCTCAGTGGTCGATGCAGAGGGCTGCTCTCGTTTCTTGTCAGCAGAAGACCCTTCAACTGCTGCTCGGGATGGGGATGGAGATGGGGGTGCAGTTGACCGAGCTTCTGCTGCTGCTGCCTCTGCTGCTGCTGCCTCTGCTGCTGCTGCCTCTACTGTATGGGGTGTTGTTGCTATAGGTGGCTGCGGTTTCGAAGTGGCTGTATTTTCTTCACCAGCAATAGGGTCGGCTTTTGACTTCTGCACTGTTGGAGCTATAGCTACAACGGGTTCTTTTGTTTCTACTTTCTCCACCTCAGATGGCTCAACATTTTGCTGGGTATTCACATCTTCTTGCTCCACATTTTCCCGCTTTGTGTCGCCAGCCTCCTCTGTTGAGCTCTTTGACTCACTACTGAGAGCCGTCGCTGCTATTTTTATGACCCGCTCAACTTCCTTGGACAGCTCTTTGGTTTCTTCTTCGCTAAGCTCCAGCTTGGTATCAGCACTACTTGCATCTTTTTCAGCTCCTGCAGTTGCGACCGCTGCAGAAGCATCTTCGGATGACTTGGAGGTCAACTGCTCAGCATCATGATGAACATCAACTTGTGTGACAACAGACTTGACTGTTTCGTGCTCCTCATCCGTAAGCTCGACGGCATGGTTTTCGATATTTTGCACGTTATCCAGCTCTAGCTGTTCAATTGCCTTTTTACTTTTGGCGCTTTCTGATGGAGACTTAATAAATGTTCCCTCCTTATTAGTGGACACAGGTGGCGGCAAGTTGTCCTTGGTGGCGGATGGAGGGCGGCTCTGGGAAGTTTTAGTGCCCAAACTTTCACGTTCGGGCTCAATGGGTACTTCGTGTTCCTTGCCCGGTGATAAATTGACCTTAGCTTTGGGTCCATTATCAAAATGTTCTTCATCGCTCTCGGACATATCCTTGGAACGTCGCATGGAAGTGCAACGTTTTCTATGGACTACACGCTGCTTTTGGCGCTTATGATAGCAACAATTCTCACAGGAATCCTCTGTCCCGTCGTCCGCATCATCATCCCACTCACTGGAGCTTTCGTAGCGCTCGCGGGACTTTCGTCGTCTCAACTCAATATTGCTCTTGGAGCGGCAAATCTCACTGCAATATTCCCGGCGACAGGCGTGCTTCTTCTTCGACTCCCCGCAGCTGCTCGTGCGTCGGCGTAGCTGTCGTCGCTTGTGTTTGCGGCAGGTATGCTCAATGCGGTGCTCCCTGCGATAGGTTTGCTCCGTGCAGCTGCATTGCCCATCTGCGCCATTATCGCCCCCATCTGAGTCAGAGCGCTTTAGATACACCACATACTTCTTAGAATTGCGCAGGTCGTGCAGTTCTTCCTTCTCTACGTACTTCAGAGGACGCACCATGTCCGCGGTCGCTTCATGAAAAGGATTACCACGACGCGCCGCCATACGCAACTTACTGGCCGGCAGTCCCTCCTGCGATTGCAGAAACTTTGCCGTGGAGCGATGACCACGCTGCAGCGCACAGTCGAGAGGGGTCAAAACCATACCCTTAGAGTTCCGATAGATGGCATTTACGTCACCGCCGTGGTCCAACAGCAGCTTACACATATCCGTATAATCGTACGCCGCCGCAATGTGGAGCAGGGTACGACCATCGTTGCTTGTTGTGTTAACCTGATTGGGTCTCTGATCAAGCAGCCAAGCAACCAACTCGCGTCTTCCTGATCCTGCAGCCTCATGTAAGGGCAAATCTCCCTTGGCATTACGCAGCCAAAGATTGGCACCACGCTCTTTGAGCAGCTTCAGCGTCTCGAACTGCCCCTTGGAACAGCCACAATGGGCGGGTGTGCGACCCTTACGGTCCTGCCTATTTGGATCCGCCTCTAAGTCAAGCAGACGCGCCGTGGCATCCGCATGACCCAAGGTCACCGCATAATGCAGCGCCGTGCAGCCGTTGGAGTCGATGAGGTCGGTGGGCGCGCCGCAAAGACCAATTAACGTGTCGATGCATTCGGTGTGACCACGCGAGGCAGCACAGTGAATAGCTGTGAGGCCGTCCCTGGGGAAAAATCAAATTGCGTTATTTCTAATAGACAAATAAATATTATCTTCAAGTTAGCGATAGTCATGGATTGCATTAGTTAACGAAATATGTATAACATAAGATACTTATTAAGAGATAATAGTATTCAGTATTAAAATTAAGCATCCTATAGCATCCACGTCTATTCATAATATTACCGACACCTACTTATCTGCACTTTCAACGCGTGCACCCGCCTTGACAAGCGCTATGACTGCCTTGGCAGAGCCCGCGGAAGCGGCCCACAGAAGCGGCTGCCTTCCATCTTTATCCTGCACATCGACGCTGCTCTGTGGATGCCCCAACAGTATACCCAGTATCTCCAGCGACAGCTTATGTGAGTTGGATTTTCCCAGTTTGTTCTCGTAGCTGGCGCCGCACATCTGCGCCGCATAGTGCAACGGTGTGCCTCCATTGATATCGGGCTTGGCCACACAGGCTCCTGCAGCCAGAACAGCGCGTAGAGCCTCCACCTCACCACAAACTAAGGGTAACATCAATTAGTTTCGAAGAAGAAATAACTATATTGACTGCTCACCAGTTGCCCAGTGCACCACCGAATGACCCTCATTGTCCACCGCATTCACATCAGCTTTGTTCGCTAGCAGCAAGTTGACCATGGCCAAATTGCCCTGAATAACAGCTAAGTGAAGCGGCGTGAAGCCATCCTCGTCGGCAGACTCCAGCAACTCTGGAGCTGCAATGGCAATGCTGGCGGCCGCCACGAGGTCTGCACGCGTCTGCGACGCGTCCTGTGCGGCACAGTAATGCAACGCGTTCTTGTTGCTACGGTCGCGTTGCCGCAGCAGTTGGGGCTGTAAATAAAGAAGAAACAAAGGGGAAGTTTGTTAGTAAAGTAAGTAAATACTATATACAGTTTATTATTAATGCGGACTTTACGCTTATTAATTGCAGAGAAACGCCACTCCTTAACCAACTAAAATTTTATCGAATTTCAAATAACTATTCAAATATTTAAATATCAAGGAATGTGTAATGAAATGCTCATCTCAACTTAATTAAATTGCGTTGAAATTTTAATTACATATCAATTTACTCGTAGAGTTTACTTCTTCTTCTGTACTAGTAAGTATGTATATATTTCATTGAATTATATTTCTTATGTACATTTTCGGGATTAATTAAAAATAAAATACGTTTAAAGGGTTTCTTTTTCACGAACTTTCTGCAATACATAATAATAGCAACAACAAAAAATGCAAACAAACATTTACACTGCCCGTGGCCGTAAGCAGCGCATTTAATACACTAATTAAAATGTCATTTGCATGAAATACTCGGGCTGACCCCTCCTCAACCCCAATTGTTTATGTTTAATAAATTGTGTAATTAATACGCTTATCAGCTAACGGTGCCGAACCAGGCGGTTGGAAATGAAATGTTCGCACTCTGCGGCATACTTACAAATCTTTAATTGCAACAAAATATTAATATGTGGATATTTATTTCAGTGTGCCGTTGATGCGCGCTTCATCTAGTTGTTGCTGTTGTTGTTGCTTTTGTTGTTGCTTTTGTTGTTATTATGACTGCTATTGTTGTGCAACCCACAAGGAGTGCGTAATTGTTTTCCAAATAAAAATAAACCGGTCAGCTGTGCGCGCAAAATGCAATTAATTGTTAAGCATATTTTTGCGTTAATAACGTGTAAATTATTACTGAAATAAATTAATTCCGAGCTCGCACACTTCAAGCGCTTATTGTTGAGCCGACAGGCGTAGTCCTTACTAGTTGCTAGAGCAACCCAACAACAGCAACAGCAACGGGAACGGAAACCGAAACAGAAACAGAAACAAAAACGGGAACAGTAACGGGAAAATCGCGCATTTTATTTGTTTACATTCCTTGCTGGCGTTGTAAACAAACTTTCTGGCTGGTGGTGACTGGAAAGTGCAAGTGTTGAGCCACATGTTCGGAACAGCAGTTCCCCCTGTTGCCATGGCAACCGTGTGGTGAATTGGCCACACTGTGTTGAGCTAGTGGCTTGGAAGCCAATGAGCCATATGGCCGCTTACCAGATTTGTGTTGGCATTTTTGGCGCGCAAAATGACGTCAAACTCGATCGGGCAGGCGAACATTGCCGTCGTCTCTATGCGGCGTGTCAAAACATGTCAAGTGCACAAAAAATACTGTCGCCGCTTCCGAAATGTATGCTAAAACTTTGGCCCATGCCTCGATTTTCGCATTGCGCCAACTGAGACGTCGACGATGACGCTGACGCCGACGCCGGCGCCAACGAAAATCGCGCGCAAATGGCCACTAAAAGTGAAAACGCAAGCAATTTGTTTTCCATGCGGCAAAGGCGGCAATTGACAAGCGAATTTTTCACATGAATAATGGGCGGGAGCCACCAGCCATTGATTTGTATGTAGAAAGTTGGCTTGCGGTATTTGGTATGCTTTTCATGTGGTCTGTATGTCACACAGAGCCACACACTTTATTTCAATTCTGACTGGAATTGCAAGTAAATTTCGTGCCGCATTTTGTGTTTGTTTATCTTGTCAGTGCCATGCCAAGCCCGAATACCACAATGATTGAATGTGTTGCTTTTCTAACCAAAATTCAATTTTTACAAACATTTTAAGCACTTTCCCTACTTTCATCGCGTGACTTTCCCTAAAGCTGTCATTGCATGTACATATGCGTGTGTGTCGTGTCATGACAATGACAGAAAATGGCAAGTTGTTGTAGTTCAATTTATTGCACATTTAACTGTAAGTCAAAAAACAATTCAACAGCAGCGAAAGTGAGCCGAAAGTTTGCCTAAAGAAAAACAAACAACCGAACAAACACATCGATAGAAAATACTACATGAAATATTTGTTAACTGGTAACAGTGGCGTAGAGCCAGGGGCGTAGGGCTCGATGTACTAATGAAGGTGGTAAATAACAAATTAAAACAAATAGCATGGACTTTTCGTAAATGTTTTTCTAGACAGAATATTAGAAGTTACTAAACTTCATGACAAGATGAAAACAAATTGCAAGTGCAACTAAATTGTACCTCACACGAGGAGTAACTTTTTGGCTACTTTTTTGCGTTCCTCGCTGGCATCTCAACGGGGGATTAGCATTTGTACCACAATTAAACAATTAACTAAACTATCGAACAAATTGTTGATGCCACTTAATTGGTGATCGAAGCTGTGATGGGAAGAAATCAATTCCAAGAAAAACAAAGATTGCTTGCACCTCATTTGGCACTTTATGGATGCCGGAAACAAAAAGCCTTTAGTTACCAACAACATTTAAACCCAAACAGGGTTTTATTTTATTTAAAAAGAAATGAAACAAAAACCCATAGTTATACAAGTACAAGCTTCTTTTATATTTCTTTAATTTTTTTATGTTTTCCTGACAGACCCAAGAAAGTATTCTATACATTGTTGATCGGCATAAGAAGACTACAAGTATGTACGTATAAGAAGACTACACGTATTTCACAAATAACTAAAATTAAATAAACAAATTAGAGATAATTCGGTCAGATAGGCAAGATCCAAAGCCGTAGATGAAAGAAGTTATATCGGTATGTTTTCTTTCAAATACATTTTAATTTCTCATTACTTACTGCTGGGTTAACTTGAGCGAATTAATAAAGGGACTAGGAACTACTAAAATATTGTATTATGCGTTTCAGCTGAATAAATTTCCCAGAATTTGTAGTACACTTTGCAAACTAAAGTACTCAAATATTACCCTTTCCTTTGGCAAATTATTCGATTTATCATAAATTTTTTATGCGACAGCAAATTTTAAAAAGTTCTGTCTCAATTTCGAGACATCAATAAATATTCCGCAACCTTTCCTTTGAATTTCATGCTTAGGCAATTGAATGGACCCAAAATTCATTCAAGCACAAGTTATAGCCGCAGACCACACCCAGGTCGGCTACTACTTGTATCTATTACCGCTCCTTCACTATACAAACTTATATATAATAAGTATATAAACATATTGATATTATTATTTAAATAACTGTATGTTTTCGCATGTCAGCAAATTTTCATTGGCCATCCACATGCATTCCCTATCTATCTAGATCTGACCATGACTAAAGAACCTTTTATGTGTGTGCGTGCGTGCTAATAAATATTTAATGATCTAGTTAATTTACAGTTTGCATTAACATTCCTCGATTCCAGTTTTCCACTCCTGTGGCTTTTTGCCTTTTGTATGTTGTTTGTTGTTTGCCATTTGCTGTTTATCATATTTTTGTTGATTGAATCGAATTCGGGGCTGGCGGCTTTCCATTTGCTTGTCGCAACGGAGAACGAAAAAAAAAATATACATATATATATTTACAATGATTTTTATTTGTCTCTGCTTCCGTTGTCTCTTTGTGGTCCTTTCTGTGTCTTACTGTTCCTTATTGTATCGCATGTCTGCTGCTCGAGCTGATGTTTCCCAAAACTGAAACTGAAGCTGCTGCTCGGATTATGAATAATTCAAATAAACCGAAATGATACCAAAAAACTTTGACAGCACTCACATACACACACAATTCTGGCACAGAGTTTAGAGAATGACTGTGATGGTGGTGGTGAAGGTGTGGGTGGGGATGGGGATGGGGATGGATGGTTCAGAAACTTAACGCAGCGTCAAATAAAGTTGCCTTATTCTTGTAGTTGTTGCCGAAGCTGTCATTGTTGCTTTTGCTGTTTTTTTTATTTTGTTATTATTATGATGATGGTGGGGTGTGATTGTTGCTGTTGCCGTTGCCATTGCTGCTACCATTGCTGGTGTCATGCAAATTTGCATTCAACTTTCTACGTTTTGGCCAACACAAAATGAAATGCGATAATCAAATAGCAACAACAATGCGCACCAGCAGCTGCCACTGCGGCCTGGTCTAGATAAAACTTTGGCATTTGCCAGTTGCCCGAGCCATTGTTGTTGCCGCTGCCGTTCCCGTTGCTGTTGCTGTTGCTGCTGTTTATGCCATTTTAATAGTTTTAAAAACAAATAAAATGTACCCAAGCCACATAAAACTGAAGCCACATCAACCAAAATGGCAACAACAATGGACAAAAATGTTTATTACGGGTGAAGTGGACAGGGAACTGGCATTGTAGAGATTTGAATTTGATGTCAAGGTACGCAGTTCCAAAGGGGTCACTTCTGATTAAAAGCCAATGAGTGGCAGCAGAGAGGAGATTTATAAGCAGATAACCACCAGTAATGCAACAAGGCAACAGTTAAGCGCTTCTCTGGCCATAAAATTATACGTATATTTTTCCCGTAAGCCTAAGCTCAGGCACGTGTTGTTGCTATTGCTGCCACTGATGTGTATGTGTCCTTAAAGCATTTCCGGGCAAGCCGAAATGGCAACTAAACTTAAAACTTCCTTTGGGTTTTTACCAACGATATTTACATAAGTCAAGCGACTACTGTCGTTGGCACTTCCGTGGTTAAAGCTACTGGGTTTGCATGAATACGAGTATACGGGTGCTCTTCCCTGTGGTATTTTTGGGGGCGTGTATGTGCAGCTTGTTATTCATATATCGTAATCCATTAGCATAACAATAAGACTCACAGGCCACAGACCAAGCGGGACAAAAGTCATAGTCATAGGGCATGCCTGGACTATGATGCCTTTGCGTTCATTCATATGACGTATACGACATGTTATGCCAGCCACAACCATACATTTTATTGTTTACACACAGGAAGTGCGTACAAATATAAATAAAGCATAAATAATAATGAAAGAAGACACAGCCGCAACAGCAGCAGCAGCAGCAGCAACAGACACATGATAATGCATAAAAAATAAAATACATGCACAACATACTAG